TCTCCGGGATGGCGACCATCTTGCTGACGTATGCCACGACGGGCTCTTCAGGCCCTGTCTTGAAATCCACCATAGCAGTCTTGATATCATCGGCAATGAAATCAGCGCCAGGGGATGTTTTGATCATTTCCGGTAGTCGAGCGGCTTGCGCAGTGGGCGGACTGGGGAGATATTCAATGACTGAAACCAGCAGGGCAGTAGATAGTGGTAGCCATTGAGAGAATAGTGCATTCATAATATTCCTAGGGTCACGTCCACGCAAGACATATACCGGGATGTTAATGTTGAGTGACTTGGTGATCTTCTCCAGTAACACTGGGTCACTAATAAAGGTCAATATTAGTGTTGACACAATAGTTTCGTCCATTGTCGACTTACCCTTTGCCCTTGTCTCCACCCGTGGTGGCTTGATAAGCTGCCCAAATGCTATCCAAGACCAATTGAACGAACATGGGCTTTAAAGCACGTCCCTTCAGATGCTTCACACCCAAGACGCGTTTAGTTTTAGGGTCTAGATAATAATCACCCCAGAGCACTTTCTCCAGTACTGTTCGTTTGATTCCGAGTTTCTTCTCGTAAATGGCGGCGAATTGTCGGATTGTGAAAGCCCAGCCATCGACGGCACTGCAGAAGATGACGTTATTTTTCTCAGGTGCAAAATAAATATCCTCATCATCGCGCTCCTCAAATTCAGTTCCCTCGGTAATGCTTTGTGCAGATTCATTGTCTGCCGACGACTTTTTGTTATCTTGGTCCCGAGCAGCGGCAGCGTTGACACGGTCCTCCATACGCTCACGCCACTGCAAATCTTCTTCCATGCGCTCACCCTGGTAGAAACTACCGATGACAGCATTAACTTGTTCCAATAGACGACTAAGATGCGAGAAAGCCTCGGAGGGGCTCATCTTCAGCTCTGTTACCAAGCGGTCCATCTTGTTAATAACTAAGATCGGCTTCAACTGCTCAACCCAAGTCTGTCGCAGGACTGTCACGGTCTGGCTACAGACACCTTCGACTGCGTCGACGAGCACAACTGCACCGTCGCAAAGACGGGATGCGGTGGAGACCTCACTGCTGAAATCGATATGGCCAGGCGAATCGATTAGGTTGATCAGATACTCCTTGGATACTGGCTCTGCGTCCGGGCTTGGACGGCGCAGCATGGAGAAGAATAGTGAGATAGCTGAAGACTCCATCGTGATACCCCGAAGCTGCTCATCTGGACGAGAGTCCAGGTAGCGGATCTTACCGGCCAGCTTGGGTGAAATGATGCCATTCGTGGCAATAAGACTATCCGTTAAAGATGTCTTGCCATGATCCTGAAAAGTTCAAAAGAAAAAGGTGATGAGTATTTTAGACTCATGAACAAAATTCAGTGCAAATTTCTTTGACTTACAACGTGGGCCAAAATGCAGATCTAGTTGAGATTAGTATAAAGCCCTGACATCAGACATCGGAGTGGGATGGAGGGGCACACGCACATTTCTTATGTCCTCGGGCTTCCGCTGTAGGCGGACCAGTTGGTCGATATTAACCACAGGCATCTTGGCTGATACTGAGACCAAGAGCAGGTTGTTTGTGAAAAAAAATGAATGTAAGGCAACTGGATCCCGCGAGGGAAAAAAAAGTTGCAACAAAAAAAAAAGTTGCTGATAAAGGATGCGCCCTTGGCCCAGACCTTCAAAAGCACTTTGATAAATTATTTCTGAACATGAATTTATATCTTATAGACTGGCCACCGATATTAGTACCTATATATTCTTCGATAGACGACCATTGACCTAGACAGTATCTATTTCTATGACGGTATACAATTCCCGTTGTGTAATCCCTGTTCTATTGACTCATCATGAGTCCTTAATGCTTTGCACTGAGTCAACACTCCACAGCCTGGAACCTGGCACAAATACGCTAATTCTCAGCCCTATCGGACTCTCATTCCTCGTCAAAGGAGAGCTTGATCTTCTTGGGCTTCTTAGATTTCTTCGAAGTTACCTTGGGCTGGACTTCTTCGGTTTCGGCCTTGTCTTCACCCACCACTTTGGCCTGTTTTCGTTTTCTCTGGCCTCCAACCTCAGTGAGATTGTTCTGTTTGCTGGTGGAAAGTTCTGTTTGGGTGTTGTTTTGATCACCAGTGGAGTTGTCCTTTGCTGAATTGCTGGCCTCGTCCTCTCCTTTCGGCCCGCTTTCATCAACTAATGCTTTGTATTCCTCCTTAGAAATCACCTCGTTACTTTCTTCGTCGAGGTAGGTAGGCTCGTCATCGTCGTCCTCATTATTAACCTTGAGTCTGGTCGGTCGTAAGGCAGGCCGCTCCAAGCGACCAGTGTTGTCTCCATACTGGCCCCGGAGCTTTTGGAGAAATGCGGGCTGCTTTGCATCTGTATAAAAGATCAGAATGACATAAGACATAGTACAAAGGTGTGAAGCAACATACCATATTCAAACTTCGGGTTCTTAGGCATGGTGGGAATGCTGTATTTGCTTGCTAGCTTTCGAGTGAAGCTTTGTACTTGTACTTCCTTTTGCCTATTGTGTAGATAATTGAGGGAAATGCATTTTGTTCAATCAAAACAGAGAGATAGGTTTTTCCCTATGTGCAAAAGCAAGAATTGGAGAATTGCGAAAGTCGATAGCTGCTGGGCTGGCCTATACGGTGGACTACTGTGACCATCCATTCTCTGAATCTGGTTGGCTTATAGTACCCACCGCTTTCCTCTCCGCCTTCTTCAACCTCATATATTATAGGGGAAATCGCCATATACTTTTCTGCTGGACATTTTTGCCAGACTTACGTCACCGCTGGTCGCAATTTTCCGTTCCATTACACCGCCCGCAGCTCAAGACGCTAAACCGCAATAGGACACATCGAAAAGTCCAGCCGCTCCGCGTCAAGTCCTCTCCATCAACCCTCATCGACCAACCTCAATTAACTATGCTTTGTGCTAGTGAGTAGCCTACTATTAATTGCAATGTTGTGCTCTTGTTTGAACCAAAGATTTTAACTAAATTTTACTCGCAGTCTCCGGAGAAGCACCTCAAGTGCCCGTCGTCTCTACCAAGAGCGGTAAGTCGAAATCACCTTGCGCACACGACATTAATCTCATAATGAAATAGGCAGTGTATTTGAAAAGCGCCTCATTGAGGCATACATCGCCGAGCATGGCAAAGATCCTGTGAACGGCGAGGAGCTTACCACCGACGATCTGATCGATCTCAAGTCGCAACGCGTTGTCCGACCCCGACCCCCTACCCTCACATCCATCCCGTCTCTTCTCGGCGTGTTCCAAGAAGAGTGGGATGCTTTGGCTTTGGAAACCTTCACTTTGCAGCAAAACCTGGCACAGACAAGGCGCGAGCTAAGTTCGGCACTCTATCAGCACGATGCCGCGGTGCGGGTGATCGCACGTCTGACGAAGGAGAGGGATGAGGCCCGCGAGGCACTTTCGAATGTTTCCGTTGGTGCCACTCGCGCTGGAGGCGAAGCTATGCAAGTGGACTCCACGGGCTTGCCCCAGGCAGTGTTGGAACGGATTGAGAATACACAGGCAGCGTACGTGGAATCGGTGCTTCTACATTGCATTTTTGAATGGACGGCTAACTATTGGACAGGCTGCAAAAGACTCGGCGTAAGCGCACAGTCCCTGAGGGCTGGGCCTCAAGCGACGCTATCTCCACATTTAAACCAACTGAGGCCTCTGAACCTCTCTACCCCGGTGGCCGTGCTTTGTCTATCAACTCCACTGGTGAGTTGGCTCTTGTTGGCGGTGTTGACGGTGTGGTTGGTGTCTATTCGCTGTCCCAGAAGAGTGTCGTACAGACCCTCAAGACAGATGGCCCAGTCACCGGTGCGACATGGGCAGGAGACAAGGTCGTTGCTGGTTCCTCTACTGGCTCCGTCAAGGTCTTTGAGAATGGCGCCGAAGTTGCAAGCTTCGCCTCTCATGCTGGTGAGGTGACTGCTGTCGCAGTTCACGCTACTGGTGATATTGCTGCTTCTGTTGGTGTCGACAAGAGTTACGTGCTTTATGATCTCGCCACGAACACTGTGGTTTCCCAGATTTTCTGCGATGCAGGTAAGAAGTCACCCTATGGAACACATAGCCAAGCGCGATGCTAATCACTTTTATTCAGCTCTATTGTCTGTCAGCTTCCACCCAGATGGTCACTTGATCGCGGCCGGTGGCGCAGACGGACAAGTCAAGATCTTCGATGTCAAGACAGGTGCCGCTGCTGCGGACTATGCCATGTCTGGCCCAGTTAAATGCCTGTTCTTCTCTGAGAACGGTACTTACCTGGCGGCGGTGGCCGCGCAGTCCACCACTGTATCGATCTGGGATCTCCGCAGCTCCAAGGAAACCAAGGTACTCGACACTGGAAGCCAGGTTGAGTCAATCTTCTGGGATTACACTGGTCAATTCCTCTTGACTGGTGGGCCCAGCGGCTTGACTGTCCAGCAATACTCCAAGGCCTCCAAGGCGTGGTCAGAGCCTCTGCGGAGTGCAGTCCCTGCTACCTCAGTTGCTTGGGGATCATCCGCTCAGAGTATTGTTGCATTGAATGAGGCAGGTGTGGTCACAGTGCTCGCGGCACAGTCATGATTGCCAGGAAAATACTGTAATATTAGAGCATGCTATCCTCTGAATTTTCAATGGTGTTTGTTTTGAAACTGCAGCTCTTGATACGATAATATTCACAGACAATGGATGGATATTCACAAGGAAAGTTAGTCATGAATGAAAAGGCCTGATCGTGAATTTATATCTTTTATTTGCTCAAATATAGCTATGAAACCTGTGTGAAATACTTATAGTGGATAGCAACAAATCTCTACCGAAAATGATTTAAATATCTGCTGCCAGAGCCACTTCGTCCTGTCAATTTTGGAATCTTGGAATGCGCTCAACGGCACTTGCTCAGGCAAACCTTACTAATGAGCTGATACCGCCCTATAACATTGGCAGAAGTCGACCGCCTTTCGACTCGGCCTAGAAACAAAGATGGATTCCAGTCTTGCCATTTCACCTCGCTGGTGGCCTTCAATTTCCCCTTTTTTCTCGAAATACCATTCCTTGACTCCAGGCATAGGCCCTGATATGAATGAAAACTCTGGCGTCCAGTTTATGGGCGCCAGGAACAAGGTAAGCCTTCATCCGCCGTGAATCGGGCGGGGCCCTGATCAGTATCACCAAGAACCGAGCTCACAAGATCCCTATTTCTCTCAGCGGACACGTCGTGACATGCCCACGGAAAACAACGAAAGCGGTGATGCCGCTTGGGAGCAGCACTTTCACCCCCGCCGCTCCGACCATGCTCGATCTGAATCTACCCGTTTGCCACCCAGAAGACAAAGAGATGGGTTCGACTATCGACGCCCGGTGATGCTTTCGCCTGGAGATAATGTCGTGATCGACTTGACAGATGGCCCGGACTCTCCCCCTCAACGAAATGTGACATCATTCCCCGGTCCTCTACATACCCCACATCCGAACCGTCCGTTACGATTTCCACGGGATTTGATGAACCACACGTCTACCGCAACTGATGGCCCTGCTGTAATTGATCTGGAAGCGGAGCCGGATCCAACAGATGTTTCGCCGAACAGTGCGGATGTTCAGATCGTTGGGTCTTCTTCCGTCAGGCCGAGGCCAATAGAACCCAGATACTTGGACAACCACGGTATTCCAATGCACTATCCTACTCACACACTTCCTCCTCACACACGCCGCCGGAGACTACCTCAAGGTGTGCCATGGTCCTCGTTTCGTCGTCAGGGCGTCAGTGATTTGGAGTTGCTTCACTCTGCCTACATTCACTCTGAAGGCGTTTATGGTCTAGATCTGCCTATTCAGCCGGTGCAACCGCCTCGTCGATCATCGTATAAAGGACTAAGCCCAGCACCGGAAGGATTCACTCGGCTTTTAGCAGAAGATGACGTGCCTCTCTGCCCGAACTGCCAAGACGAGTTAGGAGCAGGAGAAGGGCTGAAACAACAGATACATATTGCAAAACCATGTGGCCATGTGAGTATTGTCCATCTTGAGCTGATGAAGTCCATTGCAAAGACTAATGGTTTTGTCAGGTCTATTGTGGCGAATGCGCTGGGAATCGATCCATTTCGAAGTCTAAAAAAGCAGCTTCGAAGACAAAACCATTCTCAAAGTGCCAGGTAGCAGGTTGTAATAAACCTGTGAGCAGCCCGACAGCCATGTACCTCCTTTATCTGTGATTTACTCCGGGCATTGATTTTGCGGGCCCTCATTTGCATTCTGGTGTTATGGCCATATTCCTTTCCTCATTTCTGTCGATACCCAAGATGCATTGAAGTGGCGGGCGTTTCTTCAATAATGATTTATATCAAATTACGATTTATGGCCCTCTTGACTTATTCATGGCATTATAACCTCAAAGGATTGCGTAGCTCATTAATCAGCATATGCAGTATATTGGGATTCCACTAGGATCCATGGATTGACTTAATATTCATACTATGAGGAAGTCCCTTCAGATCAATATCCATCCATGGATAGATAGTCTGTAGACTGTTTTAATATTATAGTCAATCAGACGTTGATCCTACATGCGAAATATGAATACCTCTTTTATAGTCGGATATACGAAACCGAGCTTCGAACCCTTCGAAGAAGGTACAGCACGACTGAGCGGGACTACTACTTCGCCGAGTCGATGCTTCCTTTGGGTCCTTACAGAAGTCCTACGATTCCTTAAGATAAGATCCAGCTTGGTATCTTCGTAGGGAGCTAGTCCAAGACTATGTTAGGAGATGGGGTTGTTATAGTCGAGGCTGTGGCTGCTACAAAAATCATCTATCAACTACCGAACATAGTAAGGGGATAGGACACTGTATAGTAGAGTGTTATTGTTGCTCGATTGTGCGAGGTTTTGATTATAGTCCAGACATGAAGGGATTGATTTTGAGGGAATTAAGACAGAGACTCCAGGGTAACAACCCAGCCTATATCATTAGGATGGTAGAGGCCAATTTCCTGAAACCTGAAGGCAAAAGGATTCGGTGGTAGTGGTAGGAATGAGTACATAAGTATGTATGTTTGATTTGGTAGCTCTAGCTTCAGCTTTGGAGGATTGCGAATATGACCCCTATTCTAAGGTTCACTGTCGTAGATGGCTGGTGGGCTGTAACCCAGTGAATCGAGGAAATTGTGCTTCCATTGAACTTAGGGAGACGTGCTCTTTGCTAATTTTAGACACTCTTGTCCCGGAACAACTACCAAAACATGCCTCTCCTACTCAATAGTTTTCGCGGTGCTCCCATTTCAGATACTGTACCTTGATCTATGACCATGATCAAATCCGAGTCCATTACAGTATTGATCTGATGGGCAATTGAGATGGTAGTTCGTCCTTTCAGCCGCTCACGAAGAAGTTCCGTGGCCAATCTCTCGGTGTGTTCATCAAACCCGCTTGTAGGCTCATCCATGATGACAACTCGACCAGGTGATAAAATAGCACGGGCAATGCAGAATATCTGCTTTTGGCCATTGGACAGATTAATCGAATCAATGTTCGCGCTGAGACCACCATGGCCACGAATCTGATTCCAACGCCCGACTCCCTCTAGGGCAGTCATCATCTCCGAATCATCAATCGCCGATGATATTCCCAGGGAGATATTTTCACGAACAGAACCGGGAAGAATTAATGGATTTTGAGATATTTCGACCAATGCAGAATGGAGCTTCTCTTTGGGAACGGTTGAGATGTCGATGCCGTCAAATGTAGATTTCGCCAGATGTGACCGTCGCGAGAGAGAAAAATACAAGCAAGTAAAGAACTCTTCCTACTATTCAACCGTTTAGCTATATCTTATTGATAGGAACTTTTCTAGCCTCACCTTCCAGTTCGCCCACAAATGCCAAGTTTCTGTCCGCCCTCCAGTGTAAAGGAGATATCCCTCACCACTGGAGCGGAGCCTTGCCCCCTAAGAGCAATCTCAGTCCATTGCTTTATCCAGATCTGCTTTGAAGAGCGATGACAAAAGAGAAACTTACCCATATGACGCAGAAACCCTTCGGAATTCAACTCGGCCCTTCCAAGGCCAACCCTCTGGACAAGTTATCCCTCTTCTAGCAATAGGTTGCAGCTGTGAGTCAGTCACAAATTGTTTGACTCTCGCAACTGCGCCTAGAGAAGTCTCAAGCTGTGTCCAGTTGGTAATCAACAATGTCAACGTTGAGTTGAATGAAAGCAAGTTCACGAGGGCAACGCCGACGGCCCCAGAGCTACTTTGCTTTGTCACGAAAACAGCCAGTGCAACTAGAACTGTCGCAACGCCCGCAACGAGTAGATCCAAAACAACCTGCAACCACTGCTGAATGGAATACATGGTGTAAAATGGTTTCTGGGACGTCTCGAGAAGCGTGGTATTGCGATCTGCAAATTGACGTTGCCAACGAAGTGCTCGCACAGTAGTTAGACCCTCCATGGTTTACATAAAGTGGGCGTAAAGAGGAGCTTTTGCTTCCAGATCGAGCAGTCTAATCTGTCGTGAAGTATGCAAGTAGAAAGCCTGGATTATCCATACTGCAACAATGCAGAAGGGAATTATGACAGACATGTAGCCTGACCCAGTAGCGATCAAGGCCCCTTGTGCAATACAAGTCAAAAGGTCTACTCGAATAGTCAGCATTTGATTATTTGTTGGTTTGTTAACGTCCGGGGAAAAGATATTTCGCACTCTGAAGTGTTATGCCGAAGGCAACAGGAAGCTGCATGTCAAGAAGAGACATGTCTTGGCTAAATCTGGAAAGATTTATCTTTTAGCTAAATCCATTGAGATCCGAACATAGGGCTTACCTATTGATCAAATTTCCTGTATCTATCGGAGCCAGGCTCGGCCAAGGTGCCCTAAAAAGCTCAGCAACAAATCCAGTCTAATATAAAACGAGCCTCCACTACCAACCTCATTACCGTCCCCAAAAAGATCCTATGCAGCTTAATAGCGGACCGAGGCACAGTCCAGACAAAAAAGAACCTAAGATGTATGAGATATCTCTAAACATATATAGTGCGCAGTGCTTCAAACATACCCAATAAAGACTCCCATCGCAATGATAGCGATGGAAGAAATGCCGACATAGGAACCGAGATAGACATAGTTCTTTGGAGGACTTGAGTCACACCACCAGCTAAGCATGACCTCTACGGTGAGTGATATTAGCAACAAATCTCTGGACATGTTCGCTGATGGGTATACTCACGCGGAAAGGCAATACAAAACACGTATAGAGTTGCGAATCCCAGCGTTAGCCCAAACGCCCACCAGCCGAACGAATTAATGTAATAGGTGTAAAGCGAGAAGTCACCATCACCTCGGAAGATTTTGTGAACTGTTTCTCTCTCAGCCATTTCTCCGGTTTCTTTCTTCACTTCGCGAGTTTCCCCGGGCTGAGAGTCGCTTTCCTTGCTTTCTTCGACTTCATCGTCTTCGGGACTTGGGGAACGTGAAAGGCTCTGTAGGTACTGATTCCTCTTCTCCAGTTCTCCAAAGATCCCTTGGCCTTCCATGCGGCCGTCCTTTGAAAGAACAATCAAATTATCGGCTTCTTTCAGATGTTTCACTGGTGAAATAAGGAGAATAGTCAGCGCCGCAATTATTTGAAGAGTATTTGAACAGGTAAAGTCGGACTAACCAGCTATCGTCACAAGAATGGTTGCGATGCCGAGCCTCCTGACCAGGCCGGCACGACCGAGCACTCGCTGGAAAATTAGCCTTGATGTCACTGCGTCTAAGGCGCCGAAGATGTCATCTAAGATCAGCAAAGATGGTCTTGCGTAGATTGCTCTAGCCAAAGCCTGAAATCACGCAGATTAGCACCTAAGATGAAATTAGACTACCAGTATACTTACCACCCGCTGCTTCTGCCCTCCACTAAGCTGAGCTCCCGAACTCCCAGCTACTGTGTCAAGTCCAAAGGAAAGAATTGTGGTTTCGACGTCCAGGTTACAGGCATAAACCACCTCTTTGAGCCACTCTTCGTCAAGAGGTGATTCGCCGACGATGTTGGCTCTTAGTGTGCCATTAAATATCCATGGAGATTGCTGGCAATACGCCATTTTGACCGAGCGAACAGACAATGTCCCTTCTGGTCGATGCATTTCGCCCAGCATGGCTTTGAGCAAAGACGACTTGCCAGAGCCAATAGGTCCAGTCACAGCTGAAAACGAAGCATGCTGTATCTTCAATGTTAGTCCATGGAGTATTGCCGGAATATCCACACCCAAGCTAAAACAGCAATCAGTCATGCAGACAAGAGGCTGAGAGGACTGAGTCAGTAGTGATGTAAGCTCCATCCCTGAAGCATTCTCAGGCGCCAAATATTCATCAACAGATGTGACCTCGTTCACTCGGCTTTCTTTGCAAAGAAATTCTTGAATTCGGTCAAAACAGCCAATAGCGGATGTGAATCTAGTCAACAAGACAGATAACAGCACCACCGGGTTTGTCAAAAGAGAAATCAAGGACAAAGACGTGAAGACAACATCAGTGCTGGGTGTCTCTAGCCTGAGGTTCAGCTGTGTAGCGGCGTACACGGCTATTGTTAAAGCGGGAGCAATAGCAGTTGACAACGTGCCCAAAACATTGACGCCGACAATCATTGACCGGTAGGGCTTGGATCGATGTAGTTCCAATTCACGAAGGCCGCGTATCTTGAATGCCACATCTGACTCAATCCCGAACATTTTGATCTGGCGCATTTCTTTCAGTATTACCGATGTGAAATTGACTCTCTCTTGGACAGCATGTACCCAGGCCTTTTGCATTTGGCGCATTTGAGGAGCGAGATAGAACGACCCTAGTACGCTCACTATATTTTGGTTAGTAACTTTTTTTTATATGGCTTTCCATTTTCGCGTCTAAAATGAACGTACTCATAGCAATACCTAGAGCAGTTATCGAGGGGTATCCAACGCATTTGCCTAGAAGCACCAGCGCAATCACAATCTCTACAGGGGATGCCCAGAGTTCGTGGGAATTTAATAGCCCGGTGGCAATCCGATCGATATCGGTGCTCATCAACGTAGTCGAACCAGCCTCTTGACATTGATCCGAAGCTTGGTGTAGGGTCTTTGAATATATCATTGTAACTGATGACCCACGAGTCATAGTGACCATGCGGATAGCTTGACGCTTGTAGAGAGCAGTGCTCACCTAAAGTTTTGGGAGAAAGGTCATTAGCGACATAAGACATCAAGCCAGCAAGAGACGTATGATTTGCTCACTGCTATCCCCACGTAGACTAGCACCGTCGCACCGACAAAACCATACTTGACCCCGGACAACCCACTGGACCCTTTCTCAGAAACGTAATCAATAATGTCGTTAATGAGAAAGGGCTGGGCGAACTTGAACCCAATCAAACAAAGGCGAGGAGCAACTGCTGCTGCTACTGTCCACTTCGAATCATAAATAACATCAAGGAAAAGAGCGAGCCGTTGTGTGGATTTTGCTGGCAGTTTTAATTTAGTATGTATATTATTCCTCCCGTATCGTATGAATTCACCTTCGTTGTTCTTCCACCGATGCTGATGAAGGGAGACGGTAGAATTGGAGAGACGGTAGAATTGGAAGAAAGTTCTTCGTCTAGGGGATAGAGATCATCGAGGGATAGGTTGTCTCGGAAGCCACTGATGAAGAACCGATTGAGCCACCAATAGGTACTTTGACTGAAGATTCCGGTTGAACTTTCTGGTGAGATGTGGCCGCATTGTGGGCTAAGACATTTCCCCTTTTCATACGTCTCCGACAGGAGCAACAGGGATCGGGCTGTGAGTGCAATAGTAGCTGTCGCAGCGAGAGGATAACTTGCAGGATGTAACAGCCACAAAGTCCGGACTTGGGCAATTTCAAATATTATACTCACCAGCAAATAAAGGCAAATCAAACTCGAAGGCCTCAGTGAACGTGAATGCTCATAGAATGATAGCAGTAGCAACGCCAGAGTACTGATCATCGCGACTGCAGCGGACAGAACTGAAATTTTTGTTCTTGTAAAGCGTGGCAAACTCCATAAAACGAGGAGAACAAGCTTCAGTGCCAGAAGTAGGGTGGAAAGCACCTGCACGGTATTTCAAGGTCATATTAGCTTGCAAGCCTAATTCTGAGGGCAGTAAAGCAAGAGCAACCTGCCATTTTCCAAGTGCCAGCAGTGCCGTGGCGTATTTTCTTGGGCTCTCTGCGGATATGGCACCACCGAAAAACCCATAGAGCGAGGAATAAAAGGTCTGGAGCCAAAGCTAGAATCCCCTGCTCGAATAGCAACGTGAAGTCGAACTCGCGACGGCATGGCAGCACTCGTGGTCCAAAGTGGTTGTCGGCAGAAATACCGCATTGCATCTTCAGCTTTCTCGTTGTAAGAAAGGTATTCAGATGAAATGTCGAAGATCAGAGCAAGGGAAGAGGATTACGCAGATAGAAAACCAGGGGATGGACGAACCCTGGCAAAAACAGAACCCCCAGTCCAAAAGATTGGCTGTGAATGTTGCGATAAGGTAGCCGACTCCAGCCTCATTAGGTACATTTATGATCTCGGATCCAAACCAAGTTAAGAAGATGTGTGGCCATTGGATGCAAATGAAAGAAGTATTCGGAGTCCGGAGTAATCTGCGGCCCTTGTACAAAATCTGGATAAAGAATTACTCGGATCTAAAATGCATTCCCACCCTTATGGTGTTCGAAGACTAAGTGACCTCCTGTATGGAGAGATTACAGAAGACAAGTGGTATCTCGGCGTTATATAGTTCGTTCTTATTAGTGTTCCCTGGAGGTAGCGTGCAAATGGTAGGGTTATTGCGCAAGGTCAGAGACTCACGAAGTTACTAGTAACTGTGACTCACTGTTTCAAGCTATTTCAAGTGGGATGCTACATAGATAAATGGGCTCATAATCCTGACACCATACATAGGGACTACGGTAGACTAATACCAGATACTGATAGTCCTCGGAATAAAATGAGCGTAATTTATAAAAATAAGCAAATGCCTAGCCCGCCATTTACGCCCTGGGTTTATATAAATGGTACAGTCATAAATAAAATAGCCCTCGGGATGGCAAATGAATTAGCTATTCTGACGGACACAGGGCTGTTTTACCTAGAGAGCAAAAAGCGGCAAGGGCTGAGCACTAAAACGGAGAGAGCTAAGTTATAGAGGAACTTCAGTACAATATTACATCTACGCATGAAGGGCATGTCCTGCACTCCATAACTTAGTATATCTTAATCACAACACAAACCCAAAAACTGACATACTTGGATATGGGTATAAGTTAACTTAAGAGTACAAGTTGATCATTGCAGACTTGTTGTCTTCAAATTCATGTAGGCTCGAGTTTGTTATGCATAAAACATGGGTTTCAAAACACCATTGGCTTCCAGGTAGCAAATAGACAAGAATGAAAGAAATAAAACAGAACCCAGGTCAATAGTACAGTAAGTTGCAGTGGGGATACCTGGTAGTCACCACCGCATAGAGAACAAGAACCATAAATAATAAAACACCTCCGTTTAGACCCCCCGAAGATCACCGTGGTATGGTGACCAGATACCACGTACACTCTCGTTCAAACTTGTAACCGGCTTCTTGACCCGCTTCAACTTCTCTCCGCTGGCTTCCTTGAGGAGGTTTGCCTTCTTTAGGATCTCGTGGGGCTCCATGTTCCGTACACATACAGGCTTCTCACGGCCATTGATGTAGAGGCCCTTAATCAGGGGGTGTTTCTGGGGTGGGGAGAGACACGGATCTCAATCTGAGGGTTTTCGCGGGCGAAGGTGGGGAGGGTTTTCTCCAAGAAAGCACTATGACGTTCGATATCAGTACGGATGTTTCTGGAAAGGCAATTTGCACCATTTAGGATACACCTACACCATGCCCTTTGAGCTGCCTGCCCAGTTGCAGTAATGGAAGTCAAGGCGTTTGCATTGTAGGATGAAGGCACCGGCGCCGTTCTAAGCAGATAACCCGAGTCAGTTTGGCAATTTGAATATCAAAGATCTGGACTTCACATACCCTGGCTGCCGTAGATGTTCTAATTCCGCGCAGCGGCATTTTTCTAGTCGTCAATAGTTATCGTCGTATTTTACAAGTTGCGATGGCGCTCTGGGGCATTTTCTGGTGCACGTGATTGGTACGGGCGGTAAGTCCCGTGCACCAATAGCGTTTGCAGCGACTTCCATCATTCGACGCTAAGACCAGGACTGCGACGCGAAGCTCTCACTCCTGAGGGTTCACTCAACTTCCACACATCGTCTTACTCCACCCTCCCAACTTCGTCTGCATTGGGTTTACAACTCAGTATGACGGACAAGCTACCCCCGCCACTTTTGGCGCTATTTCAACCCCGTCCACCCCTTCGATATCTGCCTCCAAGCGATCGCGCACCAGATGACTGCCAAAAGAGCACTCTTTCCGGAGTTGCCCAGTTCCTGGCCGATGCTAAAGCTTTCGCCGAAGAAGTTCCCTACAATGCAACTGAAAGCGTGATGCAGCGCAAATTGCGTGAGAAAGCTGAGAAGAAGGAGAAGTTAGAGAAGCAGATAACGGAAGGACTGCAAAACTGTATGCTTTATCTGTTCACATCGTTTTTGTGCTTCAAGATACTAACATGGCTATGTCTTAAAGACAATCCAGACAAAGATCCTCAAGTTCGAGGTGACCCATTCAAGACTATCTTTGTTTCACGCCTCAGTTATGACACCAAAGAATCCGACCTGGAACGAGAGTTTGGCCGATTTGGTCCCATTGAAAGAGTAGGTCATGTTTTCCCTATGCTTTGTGAAAATAACAAGCGCTAACATTGTGGGTGACAGATTTCCATTGTCAAAGATACAGTATCAGACAAGAAAAAGAAACCCCACCGAGGCTATGGATTCATCGTGTTTGAGCGCGAGAAAGATATGAAAGGTATCACCACCATGCCAATTTACTTGGTGCTAGACCCACACATTTTTCTGTCCTGTGGTAAGATATGTTGCTAACACCAGTTCTTTCCCCAATATCAGCGGCCTACAAAGAGACAGAGAACTTGAGTATCAGAGGACGACCAGTCGTGGTAGATGTCGAGCGTGGCCGCACCACCAAGGGGTGGAAGCCCCGTCGCTTTGGTGGCGGTCTCGGAGGGCGCGGATACACCAAAGTCCAGCCGCGCGGTGGGCTTGGTTTCAACGCACCATCTGGACCGGGAGGTGGATTCCGCGGAGGCTTCGGTGGCAGAGGTGGAGGTTACCGTGGTGGAGGTTTCCGCGGTGGCGGTGATCGCTTTGGTGGTCCTCGTGGTGGTATCGGATACCAGGGCAACCGCGGCTTCGGTGGACAGGCTCCCCCTAACGCGCCCTCCGGGCCCGGTGGTGGACGCAGCGGAGGTTTCAGAGGTGGTGGCTTCGGCGGTGACCGCGGTGGTGGCAGATACGACCGTGGTGCAACCGGCAGCAATATGGAGCCTGTGCGCCCTCGAGATAGCTATGCTGACCGTGACCGCCGCGACTATGACCGCGATGACCGTTACAGAGATCGTGATCGTGACCGCATGGGAGACCGAAACGGAGACCGATTCCGGGACCGGGACCGTGAACGTGGTGGTGACAGGTATGGCGGCGGCGGCCGTGATGGTGGTCGCGATGGCGGCCGGGAGGATTACGGACGCAAGCGAAACCGTGAGGATGAACCTGGATACGACGATCCCCGCTCGAGGAGAAGGTACTAAGCCTTCACTTATCCCCGGATCTTACCTCTTTCCGATAAAGCCTGGGTTTGCTGGTGGGTATGACTGATCTACCCAGTTTTCATCACTCTTTCTCAAGGGTAAGGGGGTAAATCATGAATTGGCCTATGTGCAATTCAGTCCGTTGTAACGATCACAACCGTCAATGTTTTCCACCTCACGCCATGATATCAACATCAAAACTCGATGTCAAAGTGGTTATTTCCTACATCCTCTGCTCGGGCCGCCTAAGCCCTGGCAGACAGAGACTCATGAATTGTGCTTGTATTCCCCGTTCTATTATTTCTCTTTCTCCTGGTGTTTCCTTTCATCATTTGTGTTCCAATGCTTTTTCTTTTTGTTTTTCCCTTTTCCCCCTTTGGTCTTATGGGATTTCGTTTTCTCTGCAGGGGTAAGTATTTGTATTTTAGTCGGTCCTCCGCGCGAAATGGAATCTGGTGAACCATCAGGTAAGACCGGGTAAGGACCATGTGAAATGACTGAAGGCAGGTATCTCGCTAGATAGATGAAAGTCTAGGCAATACAGCTAGCGATTCTGCACTACGGTTGATCGATGTCCAAGAACGAGGTAGATTTGTAGACTTTTTTCGACCTGGTATCCGAATCTTGTCATAGGCTCATAATCCAGCACGAGGGGAAGCCCCCCATATAAGGACGAGAGAAAGAGAGATAAAACACACAAGTCTTCAATATATTTGCAAAAGAAAGCGCCCTCACCAAACTCCATAAGATGCCCAGCAGAATTCTTTTTTTTCCGGCCACACGAATGCCGAATGGGAAAGAGAAGAAATAAAAAACGGAAAAATATAAAAATCCCATCTATGCATCAACATCCATTCCACCCTCACTGTCGAGGATCTTGACCTCCTCACTACTCCGCGTCCAGTAGGCCTTGAGGTCGATCTTGAACTCAGACGAGGTGATACCGAACATCTTCATCAACGTAGTCTGTCGTGAGTCCAGAGTCTCTCCCTCTTTGCATACGGGGTAGCCCTCCTGGCCCTCAGTCAACTCGAGCATGACCTTGCCCTTCACCAGACGGGTGGGGACACCGAGCTTGCGGAGCGCGGGCTCAATGGTGTGGCTGACAGGCTCATCCTGCTCAGCAGGGATCTCACCGGCCCGAGCGGTGACTAGGCCGTTGGGGATGGTGAAAGAGCGGGTGGCTTCCGTTCCAGCGCGGGCGAAGTCCTGGGGACGGAAGTTCTCGAAATATTCGATGACTGATTCCGGAGTGCGGGAGGTGAAGAGCAATCCGACGGCGCCGGCGAGGAAAGGAGTGAGTTTGCGCAGGTTGGGAGCGGCTTCGCTTTCGACATCAGTGCCAAGGGCCTTGCCCATGACCTTGGTCTTGCCGAAGAAAACTCTGGAACAACATTGTTAGACAATCGATCTTGGTTATTTGCATATCAATATTTGGTATCAGATCCACCGCTGGTCTTCAACCGCTTTGTCTGATTCATAATCTCAGGCAAATTCCGATTGGAGTAAAGATACTTACCGGCTGTCGGCGAATTCAGTGCGCACATCCTTCAAATAGGTGTTCCGCATGTTATCGACCGCAAAGACAAAAAGGTGATCATATTCCTCGATACATTCCCGGATGTTGGCGAATAGCCGGCGGGTCTGCTCCTTGTGGTCTTTCTTGGCAGTCTTAGACTCGTGGACGACGCGCGCACGCTTTGAACGAGGCATGTTGAATTATGATTTTAGAATTGGTGGTTCAATGAATTCGGACAGAAGGTTAGATGTTTCCCCCACAGACATTTTTTCTTCGCTGATAACCGGATTAACCTACCGCCGGGCTTATCCAACGCTAACCTGAATGGGGCAATCAGCTGTGATCTCTCAGGGTCAAGTTCACTGCAATTGCTCTTGCTTCAAGTGTTCTTTCTTTGAATTATACGGTGCTGCTTATACTGTCGCCTGCAGAGGCTGAGTCCGGACAATGCTGGACTTTATGGACTACATCCAGCTATCCTTCGCCGAGGCGACCCACTGGAATCGCGACAACTCGTACTCGTCACTCAACACCACCGCTCAATGTATGTAATTGATTTATCTCTGAAAGTATCTCTATAGAAAAGGGAGATTGCTGGTCTAACACATTTGGTACAGCGATCCTGGACTTCTCGACCCCCGAACGATTGCGCGTTCACCTTTCGTCACTGTCCACTCCCCATTTTGCGACCAGTTACACACTCGGCACCGTTGGATTGCTCGATGGATCTGTGTCATATCTATTTAGTACTGTGCCATTCGACAATCTACCGAGTGGAAGTGCGTCAATCCCGCTTCGAAAGATATCCCCAGGATACCGACAAGTGCAGGCCCCCGCGGCCCCCATCGAGACCTGGGGATGGGACTCGCTATTAGACGGCGTGAGCATTCCCGGGCTCACAAATGGAAGTCGCCCAGAACCACCAATTCCTAAAGATGAAGAAAGTATCAAAGAAAGTGAGGCAAAGCGGAAAGCTACTCTTCTCCATGCTTCTCTCCATCTTCCACCTCCCTCCACTCTATATGCGCTCTTTCTGCGCAGAATCTCTTCCAATATGCAGCTGTCGCTAGCTGTCTGCTCAACTCAGGGACCGCCGCAATCTAAATCCGCGCCACAGGCTTCAATGCTCACCCAGCTATCCCATGACACGGGCAAGTACAGTAATGAGTATCTCTTCAGCACAGACAACGCCCTGTTCGGTTGGCGCGGACTCTGGAACTTCGGCCCAGATCCTCGATACACTCGCGACGTCCCGCCGCCATTATCCCTCCTTTCCGCGGGCGCAGAGGCATACTATTCCCCTATCTCATCGCTGATCGGCATGTCAACCGGCCTACGGTTCACCACATTACCGGCAGCCACAGAGATCCCGCCATCATCATCACCTTCCAGCACCAGAACACCCATCTCAACCTTCCCCTACACTCTAACACTAACATTGGCCCCAATCGTGGGCTCTTTATCTACAACCTACTCCCTCCGCGCGTCGCCTAATCTCGCCTTCAGTTCACGCTTCGGCTTTAACGTCTACAGCTGGGAAAGCGAAATGGTCGCTGGCTGCGAGCTATGGCGTCGAACTAAGAAATCCGACTCCTCCAATGATGATGATCTCGAATGGGCCCGCCGCAAAATGCGCATGCATGACTTCGGCGTTTCCCTGCCTGGCTCACCGGCTTCCCCGCTCCTGAGAGGACCCGGCTCGCCCCGAGGGCCCGGTGAGCTCCAACGTGCACACCGAGGCCGAGACGAGTGATTCTGTCATTAAGCTGCGCATTGATCAGTCTTGGAATGTGCGGCTTCTCTGGGAAGGCCGGGTTAAGGAGCTTCTGGTGAGCGCGGGCGTCGGGCTGGGTCCGGGTTCGTTCTCATTGTCGCCTTCTGTATCTTCGGCTTCGGGCAGCGGTTCGGCCCAGAGTGGAGGCGGTCCCGGAATGTCGTATTGGCGTGGAGTTGGGGTCTCGGTATTGTATTCTTCCTAGGTTATGTGCTGTTCAGGACCACTTGTTTTGTCTAGGCGCATATTATTGGACGGTCTGGTTGGCCAGGGAATTAATTGCTCTGCTGGGGTAGCAACCATTACGTGTTATCGAAATATACTTCAGAATTGTACATAGATTCATGATAATATACTTGATATTCCAAGATTTTGTCTTCTGACGCCTACATCACAGAGCTATTCACTGTGATAATAGGGGTACTATGGGGGTATTAGTTTGTTTCGGAACCCCTTTAGATGCGGGCGTTGATGATGTCGACGACTGCAGATGTTGGTTAGTACCAATTCGGTGAATAGTGTCAGTAGGTGGGCATATTCTAAGAACTTACAGGCAGGCTTCAAGCTGGCACCGCCAACCAAGAAACCGTCAACATCGGGCTGAGTAGCGAGCTCACGGCAGTTCTTCTCGCTGACGGAGCCACCGTAGATGACGCGAACGTTCTCCTGAGCCTGGGCGGAGATGGCCTCGCCGAGCCACTTGCGGATAGCGGCGTGGACCTCCTGAGCCTGCTCAGTGGTGGCGACCTTCCCGGTGCCAATAGCCCTACAAATAGTGTCAGATATGTGGAGGGATATATTGATATCAAAGCAAATGGGCAAGTTCATACCAGACGGGCTCGTAGGCAATGACGACCTTGTCCCACTGCTCTGCGCTCAGCTCCTTGGCGACAGCGTTAAGCTGGCGGGTGACAACCTCGATGGTCTTGTTGCCCTCACGCTCCTACATTAGAAATCGGGTGTGAGCGGGATGTATTCAGAAAACATATAGCCGGTCTTGACCCGATGACCCACAATCGGGACGAAAATGGGAAAACCGGGTAGTAATGACGTACCTCGAGGGTCTCTCCGATGCAGAAGATGACAGAGACACCGCCCTCAATGGCGGCCTTGGTCTTGCGAGCAATGAACTATTCAGCGGTAGTTAGTTTATGCTTCATTTGGCTGTGGTGTTTGCAGATGGTTGGGGTTTGGGGTACTGCGGGTATGCATACCTCGTCAGACTCCTTCAGGATCACTCGGCGCTCGGAGTGGCCGATGACAGCCCAGTTAATCTTGTTATCGCGGAGCTGCTCAACGCTGATCTCGCCAGTGAAAGCACCGTTGGGCTTGTCGTAGACGTTTTGGGCAGCAACACCGATCTTGGGGTTGGCAAGCTCGCGGGTCAGAGCGAGGTAGATGGCGGGGGAGAGATGACGACCTCGGTGGTGTCGTCGAGCTTGGCGGCATTGAGGTTGTTCACGATGTCAGTGATGCTCTGAGCAACACCGTTCCTTTTGAGGGTCAATTGCGCGGTCTTTCATGGAACGAGTAGGCATAAGGATTGAGGGACTTGAGACCGCGGGGTAGCGAAGCTCGAGATAACGTACATCTTGAAGTTACCACCGACGAAGAATTGGCGAGGCATATTGAAAGATTATGTGGAGGATTGAAGGGGCAAAGAAGAGATTTGAGGGATGTAGATAGCTATGGAAGAGGAAGAAGAGACTTGAGGCCGGAGGGAAAGTAAATTGGTTATGTAAATGGAGGGGCACGCCTAACTATTGCCTGAATTATTAGGTGTCCATTATGACATCGCTCTTGGGGCTCACCGGGGGATCTGCGTTGTAGTTCCTCAATTGACCGAACATCATGAAATGGTGTACAGTATACTATGTCTGACACTGCTCAAATCATGTTTGTATAGATCTGATTATTTCAAACTAACAGTGCAATTGAAAACAGTTCTTCCAGTAGTCAAGTCAAAAAATATCCGAAGTACTAGAATGTGTCAATTTACGCAGCTTCTCTCTTCTCCTTGATCGCACAACGACAGGCACAGCGACACACTGATGGCGGATCCCTCGCTGGTTGACGACGCTCAAGCTGACGCGCCTCGGAAAAGGTTCTCTTCAGCCATTTCTCCCGATGTCCAAGACTTGCTTCACGGTGATCAAGCATTCGGCTTCGAATGTCATGGTCGTTCATGGGCTGCTTTCGATATCTTTTGCCAGAAAATGAGCCTGATCGAGCTCTTTCAGCTTGCCTTGAGCCAAGAATCTTGACTGGAGGCGCCTCGGATTGCTCGCGGGGGGGCATTCTTCCTGTCACGGCTACGGCTTTGGGACTTTTGGCGAGAATTAGCCCCATAACTCGACTCGCGGCGGTAAGTACTGGCATTCTGTTGTCGGAGAGAGGCCTGATTTGGTTGTGGCTCCTGACGTTCGATCTCAGTCTCGGTCTCCATGCTTTCTGGGTCGTTGGTTGCAGATGATTCGTCGGATTGGTCAGAAAGCATAGACGCATCATCTGGGTCGCTGTTACTCTCCGATGAACAATCTGAGGTACGTTCAAGGCTCATATCGCTGCTATTTGTAGCACTGAAGGCTGGACTTGCTGGCCTATTGTTGATGGTTGCAGTTGATAGGGCAGGTTCATGCAGTTGGTTTCCCGATCCACTCGTCTCAACATCTGGGCTTGTGGCTCCAACCCGGCCATTCAGGTACACATAGTCAGGCCTTCGAGCTGAATTCAATGGTGCAAAGGGGTTCATTGCTAGAGCCACTTGGGAAGGCAGATTTTGAAGCATGGGCCGCAGGATATTCCCATTTCGACCCGACGTCAGAGGATGACCTCCGTAGTGAGACCACACGGGTGAATCCTTTGTATCTGACCGAAAAGGTTCCCCGTTGGTCACTAAACCACCCATAGAGGCCTGGAAATATGCTTGTGTCTTCATGGGCCTTTTCATGACGATGACATCCATGGAAACCGTTTCATAATCACCACGACGAGCATGTCGGGCCTTGGATATCCGTCTGTTCTCTTTGGCATAGACGCAGCTCCACTCAACAAGTGGATTGTTGTGCCTTTGTTCGTCCATCAGTTGATTTATATGGGCTCGCCTGGTATCGGAGGATAGGCTCTGGTATTGCTGCACTGCGGACTTTTTATTTGCCCTTTTTTGAATCATTTTGAAGTATTCGTCTTGGCTCAGATTCATTCCTGTCCGTTTCACACAGGTCCAGGTTGCACTTTGTTTGGGCATAGCCTTGAAAAAGGTGAAGCCCTCATAAACAGGACTCATTGATTCAGCGCCAGAGACTTTCTGGACATATTGCAAATGATCGATCGGAGACAATGGGGTTGTGCTTGGGGTGTTTGAGATTTGCGTCGAAGTCTTGTCGGTGTTAAGGGCAGACATTGTTCTGGATGGATTTCTTTGTTTCTTCCTTTGGAGAACTTATTAGAAAGAATCTGGTTCTTTGACTTAGATTCCGACAGCTATTTATGAATCCCACTTTCTCGTATCCTTGAGTTTCGTCTCGATATTCGTTTCTCGCCCGGGTGCATTGAGGCTGAAAACCAGGGCCCGGGGGGCGACCACCTGGGCATGAACCTCCCAAGGTTGTTCAGCCGCATGACTAGAACGCCCGGGTGAGGATACTCCAAGTTTATTTATGTATTATTTATAGATATACGAGCATCATCTGATAAATGTAAGATCTGAATTTAACGGAATTCTGTTCTAGGTGACTTGGCTTTGTTCATTGTTCTAAAAAGGGAAATAACTCTTTGATATCACAAGGAATTGTTTCGAGGGATTCCCTTCATAAAGAAAACTTCACTCTATTCTAAGAACAATACACGGTATTCCCTCTGAAGTTTGTATATAAATAACCTTCCTCGCTCCTTGAACTTCCTCCCTGCCCATACCACTTTTCTCTATTGGACTAATTTAACCAAACACCATGGCTGAGCAGATGAGCGTTGATCCGCAAGATCCTTACGCTTTTGATTACATCTTAGGGAGAGACTTGGGCGCGATCAAGGGGAATCATACCTTGCACCGTCCAGTGTCGCAGATCCACCAGTTCCAATACGAGGACTACAGTCACATCTTTGCTTACAATGCCCAAGATCTCTTAGACCCCTCAAGCAGATTGTCACAAAGATATCCCCAAGTGAGCCAGGTTCTTCGAGAACGCCTAGGGTTAGCGTTCGGCAAACGGAATAACGAGGAATTCTCGAGGTGTAATTGCGGGGACGATTCAGGTCACAGATGCGACAGCGAAGTGTTTCAAAGACGAAACAGCACTTCATACCATGATTTCATCTGTCTGAGTGCTGAGGGGAGGACCACTGCCAAGGCCGTATGCCTTTGTCCAGACCTTCAAAATCGAGTGCAGGTATATGGATTCATAGGCGCAGGAAGTAAGACCACCCCCTCCCTTTGATCTGATTTCTTCTGTATAGATTGCTAACTAATTACAGCATTTGGTGCCACTTTCATCGCTCGCGAGAGAGGCGCTGCTGGTGCTTTCCTTGAGGACCTTGAACAATACGCAATCAAATCTCAAGTCCACACAACACAGTGGATGGACAGTGTATCCGGTGTACATTCTCAGATGGTGCCCTTCTGTGAGGCTAGCGGAGAGTCACGATATATGCCAGAAGAAGCCCTTCTACTGATCTATCTCGACGATAGCAAAAGGTTCCCGCGGCTCGACTCGGTCTATACTCACGGTATGCTAACAGCAATTCTCATGACTCCCTGTGTCGATCCTAGCTATGAAGCCATTTCAATTATTAATGAGGATCATTTTAACAGGATCAAGTCAGACGGGACCATACCGCCTCGCATCCGAAAGAGATATCTCCCCGTTTCCAGCTTTTGATGGCAGCTATCTCATGTCCACAACCACCAAAGAACCTCAACTGGGGGAAACAGAAGGTTGTAAAGTTGCTTCCCAGCTTGTACAAGCTATGATAGAGTTAGCTGACATGAACGTCTGCCATGCTGATATGTCAGTGACAAATTATCTCATGGACCAAAACCTGAACGTTCAACTCATTGATCTTGGAATGGTCTATTTCTCGCTGCATAAATCGGGGTTCATGAGAGACATAGACCACTTTATCCCTTACCATGAGTACCAGATGATGCCTGAGCGAGCCATCGAATTGGAGAAGTACGACACTTGGAGGGACCCATGCCATGATGATGTCGCTATCGAAGAAGTCTACTTACCTCATGACCAGCGGGACATTTGTTTGTGGAAATATTCAACGATCGTTTATGGATTTCTGCATGGCTTCTGGCCCTGGGATGAGCCTGAACCAGTGCCAAAAAGTTTGAACTGGCACGGTAGGTATGATGGTCCTTACAATGATCCGTTCTATCCAGTAGTCAAACGCAGACGCAAGAGAATGATCAATGAGGATGTCCCAATCAGCGAATCACTCTCACAGGACTGCAGGGATGTGTTACAAGCCACATTGTCTAGAGAAAAGTCTGAGCGGCCGTCGTTGGAAGAATTATCGTCATTTCCTTGGTTTTCTCGCTGGTCCGCTGAAGAACTCGAGTCTGGTCGCCCTTTGAAAAGACCCTTTGTCAAGAAATTCCATAATAAGAACCGTGCAGATGGTCGAAGGGGTTTCCCATGGCCAAGTATATCACTGGACCAGGATATGTCCATCCCCATCCTTAACACCCCGGGGTATAATTCTGATTACTCTGACTATTCTACTGGGTCTTCTTATTATTCTACATATTCTGATCAATCTGGTGATTTTGAATATGGGCGAGTTCCTCCTCAAGAGGCATCACCTTAACGCTTCCCTTCATTTATGTCGAGAATGTTGTTTCAAACAGTTCCAAGGTGAGGACTTGAATTGGATCTGATAGCAATCAATGATTTTGATATATGAATATTTTCTTCTCGCCGAACATACGTAGGTATAATGTGGTATATGTAGATGTAGAACTATCTACTCCACGGCTAGACGTCCTTAATGTGTCGGGCGAGTTGGAAGGAAATGTATTGGTATGTAAGTCGCAGGAATATCTTGCAACGGATGTTAAAATAACAGCAAGGCAGGTAAACTCAATTAGGGCGCAAAACGGCAGGTCGCACTATCACTTCTGTCATCAATGGCATATAAGAGAGAAAGTCGTAATCATCGCCGAAGGCTGTCTAGTCTTGCTTGGAGGTCATCGTCGCTCGTATTGCCTCCCCTCCAATGGCCTGCGCAACACGAGTTTCATTCACCGGTGCTTTCTGTATGTGCTCGGGTGTATCACCAAGCTGTAGATGGAATATGTTAGCCTGCAGGATCCACTCTCCGGTGTTTGGGGGAAACAAACCGCCTGGTTCAGATCGACACCAATCTCGTCCAAAACCTCCTTCAAGATATCTTCTCCTTCCTCTTCTTCGCCTTCCATTCCCGTGGCCTCGTCGATCGCATCATCCATCATCTCTTGCCGTTGGTCCATGACGTCGTTTTCTCGTTCAAATTCCATCGCGATTCGTTGTAGTGCTGGCAGATTCATCTGTCTGTTCATGCTACCTAGAAGCATTGTGGCTCCTTTCATCGACTGCATCATCTGCTCATTGCTCCGGACGGTCTTGGAAGCAGCAATAGTCAGCGCATCGAGGAATCAGAAGAGTAGCGGAGGACTGCTTGTGCATACCTGAATGCGTAGGGAAATAGCCTGTAATTGAGTGCGCATTTGATAAAACTTCTGAATGTATCTGTTTGCGCCATCCAATCAGCCAATGCTGCCGCGATCAGTGAACAATCGAGAGAAACCGACCTCCGTGTCCGAACCAGATCCTTGGCCTGGATCTTGCAGGCTCCAACTTGCCCATTTTTGGCACTCTTCTTGATGTCTTGTACCAGCTTTTTCTCCTGGTTTTCTAGTTTCACTCGCTCTCGGTCAAGCTCCCGTTGTGTTCGGTCCAAGGCACGCTGGTGTTTACGCAGACGCTCCGCGGGGGTCATGCGCTTTCCGAAAGCCCACTCGACGATCTGAGACATCGTGTGAGTAAATTACCCATGCTCAAGCATTTAATATTGGCCTTACATTCATGATTGCGGAAAATAATGGACAGTCAGTTCGAGGTGGGAAGTAAATCCAAGTACGATGTAGGAGCCTGAGTAGAAACAGTGACATCAACCGCGGTATGGTAATATTACAGATGCATTACTACAATACCGGGTCACATGCACGCTAAACCCCTTTTGGTCCGACGTCATCTTAAACCTTCCAAGAAATCGACCATCCCATATCCAAACAACCCCAAAAGACACAACTTCTCTTGGATGGATGTCACCCCCACGTTGAGGCTTTTTATCCGTCATGAGTCAGGAATATCACCCTGGTGAAGGCTCGTCTTCCGGAGCTGGCTCGTCCAGATTCTCAGGCGAAGAAGAATTTCCCGAGAAGAATCCTTTTTTCCGTCCCCCGCCGACTTATATGACTGTGGGCAATGGTTCGACTTCGGAGAGCGCCACGGCCTTGATGACTTCGCTAAACCAAGATTCTGGCTATGGAGGTAGCATTGCCGATACGGAAGAGGATGCTAGCTCTGCTTGGCGTGCAGGATTGATGGAGGATAGGCCGACTCCGGTGCATACTCCAACGCGCCCTGGAGAATGGAATCCCACAGGTAGGTGGCTGGAGGTCATGCAGTGGTGTGTTATCTATGGGAGAAGACTGAGCTAATTTATATTGGGATGCAGCTGAGCATGAGAAGCAAGTGGTTGCCAGTCATGTCTCTCAACTTCTCTAGTATGTCTCGCCTCCCCGCAACAACCCATTCATGGGACTCCAAGGCTTACAGTATATTCAGCAACTCAAATCGCACCAAGCTCGCTCGTGCGATCTCTCGGACTATCGACACACTGAAGGAGCTCCAGGACATGAACCGTCAATGGCCCGCCCACTATCCCTCCGTGCAGAGCACGCCCTCTTCCCCCATGGAAAGACCACCACTGCATCAAACTCAATCCGAATTTGGAGGCAATGACAGCCGACCCGGCACACCGCCCCGCCCAGATCTGAAGCGCGCAGCCACCTTGACGAGTGTCGACGAATTGGCAGAATCCAGTGCCTCGGCGCAACGCCGCGTCGTGACAGAGCCTAGATTGATGACCCCGCAGATTGCGCAAGAGTTCTCTATTCTTAAATTGGATCTAAAGCTCGGCGCTCTTTCTCAGGCAGAGCTAGTGCATTCGTTGGAGAAGGCATCGGTTGCCGCCTTGTTGGATGGAAAGATCAGCCAAAGCATGAAGCATCTCCTCTCGCTGCGAGACAGAATTGAGGATATCTCAAGTAAGGTCCTGATTACTGGTGACTTGAATGCAGGCAAATCGACATTCTGCAATGCTCTTCTGCGCCGAAAGGTGTTGCCAGAGGACCAGCAGCCTTGCACGAGCATCTTCTGTGAGGTCCTCGATGCTCGCGAAAACTGCAGCGTTGAAGAAGTCCACGCCGTTCACAAAGATACGCCATACAACCGCAATGACGAAAGCACATATGATGTCTATTCTCTCACCGAACTCGAAGACATCGTCATCGAAAACACGAAGTACATGCAGTGCAAGGTCTACGTAAAGGATGTACGGTCTATTGACGAATCACTGCTGAACAACGGCGTTGTTGACATCGCTTTGATCGATGCACCCGGCTTAAACTCGGACTCGTTGAAAACCACGGCTGTCTTTGCTCGGCAGGAAGAGATCGACGTGGTTGTGTTTGTGGTCTCCGCCGCAAATCACTTCACATTGTCTGCAAAAGAGTTCATCTTGAATGCTGCGCATGAGAAGGCGTATATTTTCATGGTAGTCAACGGATTTGATCAGATTCGCGACAAGCAGCGCTGCGAACGCATGATCTTGGATCAGATCGGCAAACTCAGCCCTCGCACATACAAGGAGGCTGCTGAACTGGTTCATTTCGTTTCAAGCAATGCTATACCTGTTGCACCTGCTGTCTCGCAATCTGGCTCCGGTGGTGACGGCGGTGGCTCTGATCCTCATGATGATGACGATGATAAGGACTCCAAGGATAAGGGCAAAGGCAAAGAACGGGAGAAAATCCAAGACTTCGAGAACCTTGAAGGAGCCTTGAGACGTTTTGTCCTTGAAAAGCGCTCCCGCTCCAAGCTTGCGCCTGCCAGAACTTATCTTCTGAATCTATTGGCTGACCTTAGCTCCCTTGCTACAGTCAACCGTGATGTTGCGCAATCAGAGCTTAAGCGAGTGACCGATGAATTAGCCGAGCTTGTTCCGGCATTCGAGAACGGCAAGAAGAAGAAGGGGGAGCTTGCAGAGGGTGTCAACAAGGCTATCGATGAGTCATGCGACGACGTCTACGATCATACTCGTTCGACATTGACCAACACAATCACACGTGTTTCCGATGCAGACCTCGGTGTTGAATATCCTGGTCTCTTTTCGGCGTTCCAGTACGCCGAGGAACTGAAGCTGGCAATGCTGGATCAGATTGCTTCGTCTGTCAACGACTGCGAGAACTACGCCCGGGAGAAGACAGTTCAAGGAGTCGGTTTCATCCAAAATATCGGTCTTCTGCACATTGGTGAAGACAAATTCACTCCACTCAACTTCCGCGCGGATGCGATGTTCCGTCGTGGCCGTCGCCACACATTTGGCCGACAAGTCGACACTGAGGTTGAGCTGTGGGATTTCTTCGATATTGCTAGTCTCTGGGAGCGCCAAGAGAAGATGGCCGGCACAGGCGTTGCAATGACTGCGGTCACTGTACTTGGAGGTAGAGCATTGGGCGGATTCAGTTGGGTGGATAGCGCCTTAAGTGCTGTCAAAGTCATTGGCCCTAACAACATGCGCCGGCTGTTCTTCCCTGGTATCCTTGCTGCTGGTGAGTTTTGCCCATTTGTCTCACAAAGAATAACAATATACTAACTTCCTACAAGCTGTTCTGACCACAGCTTATGTGCTCAGCTCCATCCCGACCACCCTTCCCCCACGACTATCGCGGAAGATCGCCGCCACTCTTGCTGAGATGGACTATGTCCACTCAAATGCCAATCGGATCTCGACTGAAGTTCGCCGCATGCTGCGCATGCCTGCCGCCAATCTTCAAACCTGTATCTCTCAGGATATTGAGGACCTTGGCAGACGCAAGCAAGAGGTCACCAAAATCCAGCAAGAGAGCGATGTTGCCACCAAGTATTTCTCTAACCTGTTCCGGGACAGCAGCGAGAACCGCCGCTCTATCGAGAATCTGGATCTTGATGCTCCCTTGCCTGGCGGAATGGCTGCGGCAATGCAAGCATAAGCCTATCCCACCTCCACCTTTGTACAACCCCTCATGATTCCTACGATGTTTCTTTCACTCTTTTTCTTCTACCTCCTGACTTGTACAGCTTACATCTTTCTCTCACCCGTTCTCCATATTCTACTTAACTCTTCCTATGATGTGGCTTCGCGTCGGTTTTACGGTCATTTCTGTGCAGGAGTCCTGTCTCGCTGACTTTTATTGTATTCCACGACGTGATGGCGTGCACCAGAGGGAGTCTAATCCTTACCCAAGATTCCCCCTTAAATTAAGATTGCATCTAGTTCAAATTCTCTCTTGCTAGTGACCTGAAGACCGCGGGTTTCCCTTCGTCTTTTCTTTTTTTTTTCGTCCCTGATTGTCTAGTATCAGAATGCAGCTTCTTCTCGAGACAACTCGTCACCATCACCATGATCGTAGGCCTAGTGACATGTAGCTTACTTGGTATTATTGAACCCAGTTGGATTACCATCGACAACCTTTAGATATCGCTCTTTCAAAACAAAATAGATAGACCAAAGAGGGCGCCAATCGCAATGCAATGCCACGCCTTCGCCGATGAGAGCGAAAAAAAAAAAAGCAAAACCAAGACATCCATCCCATGTGCAAAAATCATTCATCTACTTTGACCGGCTGTTTCCTCGTCCTCGCCCAGACCCCCACCCAATATCCTCCAACTCCCTCACTTCACCAACAAGCAAACCCGAGCTATCGGTCTTCATTGCCTTACCAGACAACTTCCCAGCATTTCTCAGGAACTCTGCCCTCATGGCAGCCGCATCTGGATCTTCATAGTCCAGCTGCGTCATCTGCGGCGCCTGGTTTTCCTCGTCTTCGTCCTCAGTATGTGCTGGGAGTTTATCATTCAGGAAATCAAACTTCCCACCGCTGAGCATGGATGACAGACTCTGTTCGGCACGGCTGTTGCTCCGCGATATTGAATTGTCTCTCAGTCGGGTGGGCGCTTTCCAAGGCGCTTCCGAGGCCGTCGTCGTTGAGTGTGTCGATCGAGCTGGCGCGTGAGACGGGGCGCGGGCCTTCTGGCATTCGGGCTGAAGAGTGGGATGGGGCGCGGCCAAGGAGGGGCTTGCGCTTTCGTCGGGGTGGATTTGCGTCATCATTGGTCGTAGTGCCCTCGGACTGCTGTCGTGACTTGGCAGCGCGGGCTTGCTGTAGGAGCCCGCTCAAAGCGGTATCCAATGCGGATGGGCCAGTGGGTGGTGCCGAGTCGGTGCTTGGCGTGGGCTGTTTGGCATTCAGTTCCACTGGAGCTTGTTTGTCTGGTACCCTGGGAGGGGTTGGAGATCGAGACTCCGGAACGGAGGGTTTTGGTGCGTCGGCCTCAAAGCCGTCGCCAACGACGGGGATTGTTCGAGTTTTTGCGCTCTTCCCTGAATTTTGCTTCTCGGTCCTACTACCATTCATGGATTCGGTGGAGATGTTGTACGGGGACTCCGCTTGCCTTCCATCAAGATTTCTGTCGGGTTGCTTTCGCTTAGCAGATAAGGAACTGAGTTTCTCTGTGCTGCTAGTGTTTTGAGGTAATTGTCGTCGGACAATGTATGGCTCGAATGGCTTCTTTTGGCCTGTTTGAATAGATATCCAGAGCCAGTCAGCAGACACTGCTGGAACCCCCCACTCGGCAGTATGCCGCAGTTTTTCCACGCTGGCTGTTTTGGGGTCATTGCAAATCAGAACTGATGCTTTAGGCGTTAGGAAATCTCCATATGTGGCGCCCATCAACTCTACCAGTTTGCGTAGGTGTAAAAGATCGATACGTCCAAAGCCGGTGGAACAAATCCGCAACTCCGGAAATCCTAATGTCATTAGTGCATGTTTGAATATTGCATTTGATAGGATCTCACCTGGTATCGGGAACTTAGGGAACGGAGTGCTCGCCACATGAGACTTGGGTGGAACAAAAGCTCGAGCATCAATGCATCTTTCCAGCCACATTTCCGTCACGACCTCGCATTCAAATGCCATTTCATCTGTTGACGGAATCTCTGACCTAGGAGTCTGATACGGTACCATGATGAACAAACCATGTCCTGTTTTGGGAATAGTAGGGCTAGAGAACTCGTTCAGTGAATTCACCAATTGAGCTCCGTTATAGGTGAGATGCTCACGCAGAACTTTAGTCTAGAAAATTCATTAGTTCCAAGAAATGTGGACAAAAGCATGAGCACAAACCTGTTTGGAAGAGAATCCATTAATAAAGAAATAGGTCGTGTGTAGAAATCCAACGTCTTTTTGTGGAGCAGCCGGTGGCGGAGGACGAGACTGAGTGTCTTCAGAAAATGTAGTCTCGCTGGCGAATGACTGATATGCCTGTATGACAGGTTTTGAGGTTTCAGGCGGTCCTTTTCCTTGTTGGTTCTTTTGTGGTCCAGCCCTCTCATTATTATCGAATCCTGTTCCGACGATATCTCCCCAGATGCTTTCGTTTTGATCTACAAGCTTGGTACTTGCAACCCTGCGTAGTTTCCGAGGTCGCGGGTTCAAAGAGTTCTCTTTGGTAGTACTGTCCCTTCGAGAAGGCTCCCTTTCTGTCGGCGAGGATCGATTCCATGCACCGATGCCTTGTTCTGCGGGTGGTACCAGCGGGTGATATTTCTGCTCGTCTAGGATCATTCCACGCTCGATGCTGTCCGTAAACCATTTTACAGAAACAACTTTGATATTCCATTGTGTCGCAAACTTGTATTTTTCACCGTCCGAATTGCGCGCAATAAGATGGGTCACAGTTTTGGTCAGGTCTTTCCGATATTCGGCCCCGTTCTCCTCTGTTGTCTTCTGCATGTAGGCTCGAAAAGGAACTGCGGCGCATTTGTTAGCATTGCTCCGTACTCAATTGTGGAAACCAGTCAACTCACGGTCCGAGAACCCAGTGATGCAGATTTTTAGGCCATGCAAGGTTGCCAGTCTGAATTGTTTCTCCAGCGCCTGTATGTCTATATCCTCTCCCTGCGTCCATGAGTGTCGTACGGCCTCAATCCATTCTGGGTTCATTGCCACCACGTCATTCCGTTCCCTTGCGACGAATTTGTATTTGTCGCTATTCGTGTCACCGACAAGCAAATGGGTTACGTCCGAAGTAAGGTGGATGCTATGCATCGCGCCCATTTGTTCCGCCATTTGGGTCAATGGAGTCTGTGCAACGGGAACGCAGGTCAGCCTGTGCTTGCGGCTTCACATGTCACAACCCCCTATCTGACACATACTCTCCTCTCAATTTGCACGGATGTAAAGCAGATGACTACACCCGTCAGAGGGTAGTCTTTGTCTGAAGCATGGCTTGTTAGCAAATCATGCTCGATTCGAAAGAAAAAGCTGTTCCACGTACTCGAAACGGCCATCCCTGCCATTCCTCATGATCGCAGAGTGCAAACTGCGTCGATAATGTGTGATTGGCAAGATACTCTTCGGACTGGTGGTTGGTAATATCTGGATTCTGCATTCTCGTTCCGCGTGTTTTGCGGTAATTGACGATCACGTGATTCGGCATCCTATCGCATATTCCTTAGTATACTTGAATGCAGGTACACAAATTGCACTAAACTATAATGTTAATCTAGTTCCTTGTGTCCAATTGCATGGCAAATGTATAATAGCTCGTAGATTGGGGTTGCTTGGGGTCAACATGTTGTGAATATTGAGTTGTTATTCCGAAGTATATATTTCAGACAACTCGCTATAATATAGTGGTTAGTTGCCAACAAAAGCTTACTTCTCTAAACTTACATATAGCTTATAGCATATTTGATCTCAATAAAATCGGCAGCATCTTAAAATATGTGATAAATACAATCCTAGTGAGATAAAATCCGTACTCGGTGTTGTTTAGACCTAGACCTCGGTGGAGCTGTTATCCTTATCGGTGACCTATCACGTGCAGATAATCGCGTCTGCAACGCGTTGAGGAAAATCGATCTGCGTCTCTATCGGAATTGCCTGGCGCGACCTCAATTGTCTTGATTTGTATTCTGCATTTTATTTTATGCATGTTGTCAGATTCAGGGCGCGGGGCATACACATAATTCGATCGATCTCTTTGACTTGCCCAAAGAGACTACCGAGTTCATTTGCGTATTCATCCTCATCTCGATCCGCCGCAGCCCCCGAGAAAATGTTCAAGAAAGCTCTCCAAGACCACCCAGGCAGTGGCACGAAACCTCTTCACCAGACCGACTTGTTGCGTGCCAATGCAATCGCCCCCTCGAAGCCACAACCACAATCACAATTCGGTGGTGTCAAACGAAAAATTGAAGTGGCCGAGTCCTCGCTGGGGTCCCTTCATAGCGCGGTTTATTTCGATGAAAACGACTTCGATGATGACCTGGACCTCGACGAGCCACAGCCACTGATTGCCCCGAGCGTGGCTGGCTCCGCCATTTCTAAGACAGTCACATATCCAAGCCTTGACACTACAGCAAGAAACGGCCAGTCTGTTTACGGCAATGAATATTCAACAGACATCAATTACCCTGATCTTCCGCCCATGTCCCAAGAAGCAGCAGCTCCTCAGAGTAGCATGCAGTTACCTTGGTCGTCATCGCCTCCCTCCCATTTCCAACCGCCCGTGAAGAAACCCCGTACCCTACCGTGGACTAAGGAAGAAGAAGAACCTCGCGAAGACAAGAAAAAGAGCTTTGTGACTCCCAAACGTTCAAGGCCCACAGAACCATGGAACAAGTCCGAGAGCACCATCAAGGCGGAACAGAAAGAGTTGCGACAAGAATACAAGAAGACTCAAAAAAGCGACGCGAACCCTAAACCACAGGACCGTTCAAAGATTGCCTCTGTTTTCTTGACTGATGAGCAAAAAGCTGTTTCTGACGCTGTTGTCGACCGCGGAAAGAGCATGTTCTTCACCGGTTCGGCAGGAACGGGAAAATCCGTACTCATGAGGGAAATTATTGCGAAGCTGCGCAACAAATATCGCAAAGAGCCCGATAGAATTGCAGTCACAGCATCAACAGGTCTTGCGGCCTGTAACATCGGGGGTGTGACCCTCCACAGTTTTGCCGGAATTGGTTTAGGCAAAGAGCCAGTGCCCGAACTAGTGAAAAAGGTAGGGTTTCTCTACTCGCACAGGAATTGCTGATGCTAACAATCTCCAGATTAAGAAAAACCAGAAAGCTCGAAATCGTTGGCTGCGCACTAAAGTCCTCATCGTTGATGAAGTCTCTATGGTCGACGGGGATCTATTTGATAAGCTTGAAGAGATTTCCCGACGAATTCGCAACAATGGTCGTCCTTTTGGAGGAATCCAGCTTGTTGTGACAGGCGACTTCTTCCAACTACCTCCTGTCCCAGACGGAAGCAACCGGGAGGCAAAATTTGCATTTGCAGCTGCTTCCTGGACAACTTGTATCCAACATACCATTCTTTTAACCAATATCTTCCGTCAACGAGATCCGGAGTTTGCTGATATGCTGAATGAAATGCGACTGGGGAAAATCACCCCTCGCACGATTGAGGCCTTCAGAAGGCTCTCTCGGCCCCTTGATGTTAAAGACCAGATCGAAGCAACGGAACTGTATGTTATACTATGTAATTATACTGTGCTAAAACTGACTCTTCATAGGTTCCCAACGCGCGCTGAAGTGGAAGGTGCGAACTCTGCACGGATGGCGAGACTTTCTGGCGAGACCATGAGATTCAACGCAGTGGATTCTGGGACAATCCAAGACCCTCAGCATCGCGAGAGACTGCTTGCAAACTGCATGGCCCCTCCTATGATTCAGTTGAAGAAGGGCGCTCAAGTGATGCTCATTAAGAATATGGAGGATTCCCTTGTCAATGGCTCTATTGGAAAAGTAGTAGCCTTCATGAGTGAAGATTACTTTGATTCCTACAAGGAAAACGACAAGAATTTTGCTGATGACGCGACTGCGAGCGATGATGAGCGGGCTAATCGGGCTCGGAAAAAGCTGAAACCTATGGGGTACAAAGAGGGCCCAGCCTCAATGGCTCGGAAATGGCCACTAGTATCTTTCCTGCAGCCTGATGGGACAGAACGTCACTTGTTGTGTCAGCCTGAGACGTGGAAGATTGAACTTCCTAACGGAGAAGTACAAGCTCAGCGTCAACAAGTTCCGTTGATATTGGCGTGGGCTCTGTCCATCCACAAGGCCCAAGGCCAGACTCTTCAACGTGTGAAAGTTGACCTGGGCCGAGTGTTTGAGAAGGGCCAGGCTTATGTTGCACTCAGCCGAGCGGTATCACAGGAGGGACTGCAGGTCACCCGATTTGAGCCTCGCAAGGTGATGGTGCATCCGAAAGTAGTGGAGTTCTACTCCAACCTCGTCACGATCACAGAGATCAACAAGTCCAAGTCATCGAGTGCTTTGAACCCAGATGACTTTGATGACGAAGACTTTTGATTCATATAGAAGATTATGAGGTATTCTCTTTCATTTTCTAAGTCAGAAATGACATCAATATCCAACCTTGGAAGACATCTGATTACTATGTACTTATCAATAATCCATCTATACCTACATAGGTATGTATGTATGTAGGTAGCTTGGTGAACCCACCGTCCGGAACTATATCACTCAGGTCCTCTAGAAATATGATTCTTGTATCGACTGAAGGAATTTTTGGTATTAGAATAGCCAACTATCAATGGATTGGGTTATCGCTATATCACCTGGGCAGAAAAAGTTGGATGACGAACGAACTCAGCTCAGGCAAATGCAGAGATTGGGCCAGTTCATGCTGTCTCCATATTCCATGGGGATCGCATCCACTGGAAGATGTGTATCAAGTTTGTCTCGGTCTGCAGTTAGGTTATTTAAGACAGGCGTGATCTCCCATTCTTGGGCCAATGCTCTCGTGTGAGAACAGCGATTCGGCAGATCAAAGTACGATGTATATACGACGGGATCATCAACCAGCATCTGATCTTTCGGTAGGAATAGTATCGGAGGTAACGGCTTTTCTTGCTGGCTTTCTTCTTTCTTCAGTGCAACGGTTTCCTCATCTCGCTCATCCACATGGCCCTTTTTCCTGTGTATTTATTTTTGCATTTATTCGGGTCCAGCGAAGGTCGATTAATCTCAACGAAGCAGCCAGGTGACGTCTGTGGATTGTAGCACTGGCGCGAATCGGTTTATCGCGTCATTTCCTGTAGTACTGGGTCCAAGAACCCATTCAGTACTGGCGTACGCATCGGCCTTAGCGCCTACCAGGCCCGAGGCCTCAGCTTGAGAGCGGACGTGGCGTGCGTCCTGAGAATGAATTCCCAACATCCTGAACAGTCCCGTCATTGTCTGCGTTGGTGGTGAGCTTGGGTTTCTTCTTATGGTGGTCAGACTCTTCGTCACTCCTCATTCTCTTGTTATCTGCGGGAGGAAGGTGGTATAGCTGAACAAGCTTCGGATCGAGGAGATTCTTATCGCTGAAATACAAGTCGCGTAGCGTGGTTAATTCATCGATCGTGGTGCGGCCAAGTGCATAACAGCGGGCACTTCCTAATATAGCGATCCCTCGTCGAATTGTAGCTAATGGGTGTCCGTGCCACGGCTTAGGGGTAGTAGGAAGCTTAAAAAAATCGATAGAAAAGCGGCCGATACGGAAGAAATCGTTTAGGTAGTAACAGCGATATAGTCCACCGATCGCGTCGTGTGGCACTAGGTCTTTTGAGACGAGGTGATCATGGTAGTCCTTTGCGGTTGGGACTATTCGGCCAGATGGTAGATCAGCTTGGGCACGGCGCTGCTGATCTTCAATTTCGTGTCTTATGAAGAAGTTCAAATCTGTCGGAAGGAACACCCAGCGGGGGTCATTGAAACAGGCGAAAGCAGTATAGCAGGTAGGACAAAGCTGAATACAGTTCATCGCAGCCTTTAATGAGAACGGGAACAGACCGGCTTCTCTCCAATGTTGGACCTTGGGGCTGATTAGCTATATAATGTGGGAAATGTATGAGGAGACATATGTAAATACTTGACCATCTTCCTGTGCAACAACATGGGCGAATTCAGGATCGGTGGTCGAACAATTCCAACATTCTACGCCAAACAAGCGGGTAACCTCGAGCTTCACCGTATCACTAAACGTGTTTGAAATGTCTGTTCGAGGTTGTGAATTTTCAAAGCGAGCGGAGCGAGAAAGGGAAGCAGGCGGAGGCATTGGAGCTGGCTCGTTCGATTTACCTTCCATCATTAGCTGGTGCTGGATGGATTTTGGGAGCCGTCTCACCTCTGTAATAGGCCAGCTGGTTGGATTCATATGGGGAAGAAGCCATCAAGCTCAAATGCGACTCGCAGTCTGAACAGTTGGAAAGAGGAAGGAGTATTATGGTATAGTGTCAGACTTCCGCTGGGATATGGTCCCCCTCCGGGCCTATAGAGGAAAGAGGAACCTCTTTTTTTTTACGGTTGAGTGGTAACATTGACGTATTTGAAAGGCTATACTTAGAAAAGTCCCTTTTCTGGCCTTTTTCTGCTGTCTACCCAACAATCTGAGAAGAGACAATATCTATATAACTAGACATCTAAAAAGACTACCTGAGGAGACTACCAAAAAAGACCACTAAAAAGGCATAAAAAGACTATTGGTGAAGACTAGCTGAGAAGACCACTAAGAAGACTATGGTCGCATAAGCGGATGACTATTCCTGTTTTGTTAGTATGGGATATAGTCCTGCTAGTTACGTCCACTTTTGCCCTTTACAGTCAATCTCATCAGTTGTGGGCATGATCTATCTAGGTAGGTTTCCTCGAGAAAGCCCCGTTGTACTCAGCGCGCCTGGTGATCCGCCTTTTTAGAAGGTGTATATTATGTTCAATAGAAAATATAGCAGGCCCTAAATCGCTCATTAAGACCTCACTGTGGCCCTCTTATATCTCGAATGGTCATCATTAGACCGATAAGCCGGGTAGAGTAAATATGGGATTATAGCCAAACAAATTATATTGCTACAGCACGTCACACTTTCTTTCACCTGAAAATTGAAATATCCAGTTGACTATAGTTTCATCTGTCATTCTTCAATTTAGTATTTCTGGATCAAGTATAAGCGGACCCCAGACACCCCACGGCTTATCACTTATCTCATTATCTCGTATCGATAAGATAGAATCACGTGCCGAGCTGCGTCTCACAGCTCTTTCGTCCGATCTCCGTAGGATCATCTCAAGTGTGACGCGCTCACTAAGCAAATACAATTGCACGCTTAATGATTGTTTAGCTGGACTACGAGAGCTTGCAATCGTCATGGCTTCTGAATTCATTGGCTATAATGTGCAGGTGACATTGAGAGAGCCACAGGGTGGCAGGCTAATGGGCCAGGTCGCCAATGTGTTTGGGCAGCGCTTGCTGCTCCAGGATGGTGAGCTATGAATGAGTTCAATATATATGTATGCTATCATTAACCTTTTTGATATATAGTCACATTTCTCTGGAATGGTCAACGCCTGCCTCAATATTCTATTGATGCCTCTGCTATCATCGACCTCTCTCTTGAAACCAATACCCAGGCTCCCTCGCAGCCTCAGCCGCTGTATCAGCACCAGCCTAACCCCCAGCTTCAACCTTATACAGCAATGCATTTACCCCCAGCCCCTACTCAATCTACTCCAACACAGCAACAATTTACCGACCCGGCTATTCTGAGTTTTTCGAAAGCCCCTCTCGCATCTAAACCGTTTGTTGAGAATGTCTCACCGGCTGTCCCCGCTAACCAAATACCTGGGGCAGTCTCGGCCTCTTTGAGTGAGCCATTTAGCAGCCTGGAATTGAATGCGGATAGCGGGAAGACCGGATTACAAGGGACCTCCCACAAGAAAGTACTCCAAAGCCCGCAGGAACTGTCGCCCTCAAAGCAGACACCAAAGCGGAATCGACGTGCCAACCAAGAAAACGCCCGGGAAGAGAGAGGATATGTCGCTAAACACGGTGCCGCGGCAAGCACCAACCCAAAGAGCAAAGGCTGGCGCCAGACTGCGTTTGTTGAGCCAGCTGCCCCTGCATTCCAGGATTCACCTGAAGCTATGAGCCGGTCTGGAACTAAACTTCGCAAAAAGAAGTCCCGCCGTTATACCGAGGATCCAAGTGGCTGGGCAACCGAAGATGCTACTGATATCCAAGAGCTGGGCGAATTCGATTTTGAAAGCAACCTGTCCAAATTTGACAAGCGGACAGTGTTTGAACAAATTCGAAACGACGACACTACCGCAGATGACGAGCGTCTGGTGAGCTTCAATCGAAAAGTCAAGCCGGGCACCAACGGCGGAAAGAACCTACACTGGACGGAGAATGTACTCGATAGCCCACAGAACAGCGACACCGGAGATGATATCGAAGGAATTAGTGAAATAAAACTGAGCAGTGAGACCATCTCCGGACGCGAGCGGGCAAGAGCCCCTGCACATGCCCAACCTCCCCGCAAAGATAGCGCGATACAGGCCCCGCCAATGGTGCCACAGCTCAGTGCGCTTGGCCGCAGTCAGCTTCACGTCAACATTTCTCGTACAACCAGCCCCCGACCAAGCCGATCGTCGGTGTCGCCTATGATTGCTCCCAATGTTTTCTAGTGCTGGTTCGCTCCGGCTCACAACCACCAATCGCAGTTGTCCTACGGTCAGCCCCTTGCAGACTCTGGAGATCGAGCAGATCTCGGTCGCCGAGTTTGGCTTGGCCGATGAGATCATTACAGAGAATGCAGGCCGGGGAATAGCAGAGGCCGCTGTGGCTCTTCTGTCCAATGATGCTGCCGCACCTACTATGCTTATCCTTACTGGCAACCATCGTACTGGGGCAAGGGCTATTGCTGCTGCTCGCCATCTTCGTAACCGAGGCCACCGGGTTACAGTCTGCTTGCTCGGGCTCGAACACGAAGCTGAATTGCTGGAGAACTGCCGCAAACAGCTTGATATTTTCCGCAAGGTCGGGGGTCGCGTGCTCAAATGGGAAGAACTATCTGCTCGCTTGGCCACCTCAGACCTGGGACCTGACTTGGTTATCGACGCTTTGTTTGGCATGCATCTGTCCTTTGACGACCTTCGAACCGACGACCAAGGTGTGGCCTTTGAGATGATTTCGTGGATGAACCGCAGCAACGTCGATGTGCTGTCTGTGGATGTCCCTTCCGGACTCAATGCTTCTACTGGTATGTACTTACGGAAACCAGTCAGAACTAGTGTAACTAATACAGGACTATCCACAGGCGAGGTTACTCTGGCCGAAGGTGGCCGGCTGTGCGTCAATGCCACATCGGTCGTGTGCCTCGGAGCGCCGAAAACTGGTGTGCTGAATGCTCTTCTGTCTGGCGAAAGACTGTCCTGGAATTTGTCAGTTGCCGACATTGGGATCCCTCAGATTGTCTGGAGAAAGTACGGTACCCGTCGTCGCCATGGAATCGATTTCGGGAACAAATGGGTCGTGCCATTGAAGTACCAACCTTTGCTTTCCTAAACACAACAACCCTTTCTAATCACATGAATTACCACGATTTACATTGTCATCGGAGGCGTTTCAATTTGCGAGATGATCCAGGCGGAGCTGGTAGCTCCCTTCACAGCGTTTGTTTTAATGATGCATGGGCTTCCAGGATTTCCAGCGGGAAAGGATAGCACTTGTACATGTATGATTACCCCCTATCCTTGTTCTGACCTCAGGATCTGGACAACATGGCCCAAAAACCCAAAATGTCGAATTCAGATAACAAAAATGAAATTTTAAGCTCGTATTTCCCTTGTAGAAGTTGGTTGACAGCTCACTCTAGTAGGTTATATGGACTGACCGCCCTTTTCTCCGCCTGCTCATTGATGCACGTAATTTTCTGCCAGCAATATTATTGCCTGCACCCACCCGTGCTCTAATCTCAAAGCGGTAAGTGTCCTGCCGTCATTTGATCTCCGCGGGCTGCGCGAAAGTTGCTGGAACAGTGCAGCTTAATCTTCAATTATGGGAAAAGGTATTGTCTTCCGTGAGCTCCATCTTGGACAGATTCAGACTAACGTCGTTGGCTATAGGAACCGATAAGCTTTACGTATGCGACTCCTTCATTTTCTACATTCCAATACTCTCCTATCGCATCTTGAATTCCCGCTGATAATCCTATTTTCTCTAGATCACACACTCCGAGTGGGGATCCGAAGATGCTTTCTCCGCCAGTGCTGGCGCTGGAGTCTCCAAGGCCAAGAAGGGCGGCGCCCACGCTGCGTTCAAGCGCTTGCCATTCAATTTCTGTTCCCTCTCCCTCCAACCATTTTCACACCCGGTTTGCACGCCTACAGGAACAATCTTCGATCTCACGAATATTCTCCCATGGATAAAGAAGCACGGGACCAACCCCGTCGACGGGACCCCGTTGAAGAGCTCGGACTTGATTAAGTTGACTCTTGCAAAGAACGAGGATGGCGACTACGTCGACCCGGTGACCTACAAGATTCTGACAGATAATACACATATCGTCGCGTTACGGAATACGGGGAATGTCTTTTCCTGGGATACGGTGGAGCGACTCAACATCAAGGGAAAATTGTGGCGCGACTTGGTCACGGATGAAGAATTCAGCCGAAAAGATATCATCACCCTGCAGGACCCGCAGAACATCGAGTCGCGCAACCTGAGCTCGTTCAACTACATCAAGGAGGGGGAGACAGGAATTTTGGACCAACAGACCTCTGGGAGCGTCAACACCAGTGCGCTCGGCAGCTCGGCAAAAATCCTGAAAGCGAAAGAGGCGGTTGCAAAGGCTCGATCAGAACGTGCTCAGCAGGCTGGTTCTGCTGCAGCCGGCTCAAAAGTCGTTTCAAAGTCTGGAGCTGCAAATGCGGCCTCCAAGGAGCAACCGGGAAAGCCAACACCCTACAACGCTGCACGATTCACCACGGGAAAGGCGGCTGCCTCATTCACTAGCACAGGTCTGACACCGCACACGTCTGCTGAGCTAGCGGTACTATCGGAGGAGGAATATATGCTCAAGCGGGGTCGGGTGAAGGCCAAGGCTTATGCGCGCATTGTGACCACGGCCGGGCACCTCAATCTGGAATTGTATCCCGAGCATGCGCCCAAAGCCGTGTGGAACTTCCTTCAGTTGGCCAAGAAGGGCTACTACACAGATGTACCCTTTCATCGTAATATAAAGGGCTTCATGCTCCAGGGTGGTGATCCAACTGGTACTGGACGCGGCGGCGAAAGTATCTGGGGCAAGTACTTTGCAGATGAATTCGAGGGGCCTTTGAAGCACGATGCCCGAGGCACGCTGAGCATGGCAAATAAAGGCAAAAACACGAATAGTAGTCAGTTGTAAGTGACCCCTTGTGATTTCCCCCAGCTCAATGAGCGCGCTGACATGTGGTTTCAGCTTCATCGCCTATCGAGCCCTACCTCATCTCAACCTCAAGCACACCGTCTTCGGCCGTATCATTGACGACCCCACTCCTTCGTCCACTACTTTGAATAAGCTAGAGATCCACCCGGTGGAATCAACTACGAACCGTCCTACCCCCGATATCCGCATCAAGGAAGTCACGGTCTTCGTAGATCCATTCGAGGACTTCCTCACCAAGAAGCGCGCAGAAGAAGCGCGGGCCACAGGCGTCACGGGTCCTTCTGCAGAAGAGGAAGACGAGGCTGCTCGACGTGCGGACGATGACCGTGTCACCTGGACTGGAAAGCGGGTCCGCGGTGCTGAGTCGGAGAATGATGGTGGTGCCTCGGGCGTTGGAAAGTATTTGAAGGCAGCACTGGCAGATCGTGATGGACAGGAAGAAGATGAGATTGTGGAGGTTCTGGACGAGGAGATTGCCCCTGAGCCCGCTCGTAAAAAGGCCAAGGGCACTGGAGGTTTCGGAAACTTTAGTTCGTGGTAATAGATACCTTGGTATAGTTTCCAAGTCTTTTTTCCCCTTCAATTTGTACTCTACCTAGGTAGTATGAATTATGTATGCTTGGTCACATTCTACAGTTACACAAACAGATTGTACATACAGCGCTCAAGCACAGTGACTCTGAATATCACTGCATGACTTGAACATCCTTGAACATCCATGGATATCCCTTGATCTAGTGCGTACCTAGATAAGACGGACCTCGGGACCTCGGGAGAAGCCTAACTTTTATATTTTAAGGTTATACCATTCGATCTAGGAAAACATATACTAGTTGAAGAACTATATAGAAATAAGAGAATTAGCAGCTCTTAGCAACTTGAGATCTAGGAATAGCACACCAAACCCATCAAAATGACTGCGACTTGGGTATCGTGATCTTTAGTGTTTCTTGAGCGAAAGGATGTCGCTGCCAGGTAAACAGGGCAGCCACAAAGGCGACCGTTGCCATGTAAACACACACTCGCATACTCTGACTGAAGGCGTCCGAATATGCCTGTCGCACCGCCTGAGCCTGGGATGCATTCAAGGTGTTCATTATCTTGGTGGATGTTTGCAGGGCGCCAATTTGTTCATCTGATAGAATTCCCTGGAGTTCTCGGTGCGATTGGACGCGAAATAAGGCATTAGCCGCTGCAATGCCAATACTACCACCTAGCACGCGAACCTGAGACACAATGCCCTGAGCCACGGCTGTTGGACGAATTAGAAATTTTGTCGCCATTAATGGGAGCACAGAGACATACCGTGCATATTGGCACTCATTTCGATTGAAGTCAGCAGGCTGACAGTTGAGAAAGTCAATCCAATCCCAAACCCAACAATCACCTCAAAGCCATACACTTTGGAGGGCATCTTGAAGTCTGCGGGAATGGTCGACAACAAACCAGCGCCCAGCAACACAAAGGCAGTCGCAACAACAAACGTGTGAAAGGTTCGGTTCTTCTTGCTAGACGCAGCCCCTCCTAGAAATGAGCCCACGGCCGTCGCACAAAGTAGGGGAAGCAGACGAACTCCAGCGGCGGCCGGGGACTGTGCGTTGACGATCTGAGAGCGCAAGGGTAGGTTGAAGATAATGACGAAAAAGGTAAATCCGGTGAACATGGTGGATCTACAATTTCGTCAGCAATATGCAATCTGAAATGAGTGGATGGACTGACATGATCCCGGCCGCCATCACCCGGTGTGAAAAGAGCCCCCACGGGTAAATCGCGGCAATACTTGGCCACCGGCCCCGCGATAGCAAAAATGACCACACAAAGAGGGATATCCAACAGAGACCACCGACAACCAGAGTCGCAATGGTCACGGAACTTCCCCACGCATAGGTTCCTGTGCCCCCTTCATGCAGACCGAAGACAACCAGAACCGACGCCGCTAGGAGGAGTAGACTCCCAACCATATCGAACTGAGTGAAGTGTTTGCGAATAGCCTGGTCGTGAGAGCGACCTTTGGGCCAAGCAATCGCGAAGATGGCCACAGGCACCACGCCGCAAGGGGCACTACTATCGGTAGTTAGCACGTACCAAAATCCAGGACGATATCCACTCACTTGATCCAGAAGATCCATCTCCACGACGCATATTCGGTCAAGACACCGCCCAGAATCGGCCCAAGAACGCCAGCGATGGCAATCGTGGCGCCCACCAATCCCGAAATCAGCGCCCACGTCTTCGGCGTACTAAGCTCCAAGGCAATGATAAGGGTGAGAGCATACAGCCCAGATCCACCCACACCCTGAAAGGTTCGAAATATGATGAGCTGGTGCAGCGATTGAGCAAATCCGCACCCGATTGAAAAGGCGATGAAGACTGTGAACGCGCCCAATACGGCAAACATGCGACCAATAAAATCACTCAGCTGAGCAAATATTACGGCAAACCCTGTGGGTCCATGTCAGCTAGAAAAAGACATCCGATAATGCAGAGTCGATTACTATACCCAGATAGGATAATGTGTAGGCCAGGACGGTCCAGATTGCATCCGCAAGGGAGCCGAACTCCAGCGCAATGGTATAGAGGGAGGTTGACACAATAGAGTTGTCCATCATGGACAACATCAGTCCCACGCATAGACTGAAAAGAATCAACGACAGTCGCCATGTTGCCAACGGCTCCTTCTCGCTCGCTTGATCCCCCGGACTGGTCAAAGATTCATCGCGCCCCTCATGGTCGAGTTCGATTTCGACTTCGCCCATCCTACTTATGACAGTGATAGGGAACGTGATTGGGCACAGACAAACTCACTCTGATGGGTCTTTGAGAAGAATGAACTGAAATTATCATGAGCCCCGAAGTCGGTTTTGAACGGCCCATTTTAGAGGATTTACTTTCGTATAGTTCCAGCCGGAGGAATACCACCAATCATCGCTTGAAAAATAGGCCGGGACCCACCCACTTCCCGAGGTCTCCACCTTCTAGATCGAACATTATCTTCTGCGGCTGAAAAAGGTGTTGCATTCACCAATCTACCTACATATGTACATATCTATGTGTTAAAAATTATAAAAATTATCATCAAACTTGTTCCATCTTAACAATCCATGATGCGCGTGTTATGCCTTCATGGTATGGGCACGAATGCCAATATTTTTCAGGCTCAAACGGGTATGTATTCAGCATCCATCTGCGTGTACGGCGGCTAATTGAGCCCAGCTGCATTTCGAACTCTTCTCCCAGCGCATTTTGAGTGGGAGTTCTTCGATGCCGACCATGACTGCGAGGCTGCTGAGGGTGTGCGCGGTATCTACCCCGGCCCGTATCTGAGCTTCTACAACACCCCCTACAACAAGCAGGTCGAGGACTCGCATGATTTCATCGACGAGATTATTGAACAAGATGGACCTTTTGATGCCATTATGGGGTTCAGTCAGGTGGGGTCTCTATTTTGAACCTCTCAAACATTCTGATCGTCATAATTGATTTAAATTGAATCGAACCAGGGAGCCGCTGTGGCCGCTTCATATATCCTCAAAGCCCAAGCGTCCAATTCCCTGGCGCCGCCACCATTTCGAGTGGCAATATTCATCTGCAGCAGTTTGCCATTTGCAACCGATAAGTCTGCCGGATTCGACATCACCAAGCTCTATGCCTCGGGCGGGGACATGTTGACTAGCGACATCGCATATTGGAAGTCGTTCTCTGGTCCTAATGTTTCCTCAGTTATTTCCCATATCAACTGCGGACTAAACGGAACCTTAACTGACATCCATCTGGATCCTAACGACACTGTTCGTCGCTATCACCCGGCTGCCGACACTTGTCGCATCGAAATCCCAACGGTGCATGTCTATGGACGCCATGACCCCTATCGGAGTCAGAGTATAGCCTTGCAGGGACTATGCAGCACCCAGCAGGACCTCACATTTTCTTATGAACATCCTGGAGGGCACAACATCCCGAGTACGAAGGCAGTCGCAATGGAGATAACAAATCTTATTCGCAAGGCAGTGACCAGAAGTGAATTTATGTTTTAAGCGGTTAATGTTACATGCCAGGGTTGTACCTATCTAGGACGGTATAGAGGTCTAGAATCCCCTTAGAATATTTAAGAAAGACATCAATTCACATGATGTCCCATTTTCCGAAACGCATTGTATATTCAGGGCTTAGAATTAGTGTGGATTTATAAGTTTTGTATACCCAAAAAACCAAGTATAAAGGTCTTACCTGCAGCCCCTCGTTCAACTGCTCTAATTATACTCAGCTTTGTTCCCATCCCTCCCCAACGAATTCAATACTCGATTAGTTCAACATGCGGGTTCTATGCCTCCACGGCCACGGCACATCGTCTGATATTTTTGAGACCCAATTGAGCGCTATTCGAGAGCTCCTAGATGAGTCGACCGAATACATCTACATAGACGGGCCCGTCGAGAGTGACCGTGTCCGAGGCTCGTTTCCCCATCCAATACACGCTAGCCTCTCAGACTAACAGTAAAGTGAGCAGGAATGAGTGAGATGGTCCCCGGTCCATTCTTCGGCTGGTTTTCGGGCTTTTCGCCGGATCAAGTCCAAAAGACACATTCTCTTGTGGCAGAGGCGTTGGAAGAAGATGGTCCATTCGATGCTATCTTCGGCTTTAGCCAAGGCGCCACCCTCGCCCTCTGTTATCTTCTGCAGCACCAAATTAAGCATCCCAATAAGCCGCCACCGGTGCATTTTGCTGTCCTTTTCTCCTGCGCCGGCCCGGCCTTTTCGTCTGACACGAACCTCAGCCGAGACATCGTCAGCGGTCTGGCGTCGGAGGATTTTGAGGATCTGCAACGCTTGGCGGCTGACACGAAAGCGAATGGCCAGGGACTGTCAGATCTTCCTTGCGATTCCAGGAAGGATGCCTTCTTGGCAACTATGTGCTCGGCCCTCCAACTTGGGGGCGAAAATGGCTTTATTGTGCCTTCCGCGGAGATCGAACAATGGAGGCTTGCATCTGGCCCTGACCGAGAAAAAGCGATGACCCGCGTCTTTCATCCGTCCCTGACATCTGCACGAGTCAAAATCCCTACTATCCACGTGCTGGGAGAGAGTGACACTGCAGATGTTCTTGAACAGGCGGAGGTATGTCGGGGCCTGTGTGATCCCCGATCGGTGGAGATGGTGGGACATTCGGCAGCCCACGATGTGCCCAGAAAGCCCGATGAGGTCCGGCAAGTGGTCGAGGCAATTCGCACGGCTGAGGCTGAGGCTTGCCTGATGGCTTATTAAATTAGCAATTGGAATAAGCGTTGAGAACAGACTAGCTCATATCCACTTTCAAGTGCTTACGCTTCGGTCCATTTTGACGGTCCACCGAGATATATTGCCCAAACATGGCAGACACACATTAGGAGTAAATACCCGCAACATCATACCGTTTACGGATGGGGGCCGTGTTGTCTCAGGGAAAAAGAAAGAGAATAAGCAATGTCTGGAAATGGAAAATGGAGGAACTTGAAGGTATATGGATTTTCATATATAAATCGACAATGTCTCTCAAGTGCTTGTAGACTGAACCATAGAGTAATACAGATTGAATTGCAAAGAAAATGTCCCACGCACAACAGAGGGACGAGGTCCTCGCCCAGGATGGTATTGAGCCCATGGCGATCATAGGAATGTCTGCCCGGTACCCGGGTGAGGCCTCAACGCCGGCGGGCTTCTGGGAGATGCTCAGCAATGGACGCAGCGCCCATACTGAGGTGCCCGCTGATCGATGGAATGCGGATTCCTGGTATCATCCCGACCAAGACCGCAAAGGAACAGTAAGATCAATTATGACCTCGATCCATTTCGTGCGACATCGCTGAAGATACACTCCAGACAAATGTCAAGACGGGATGCTTCCTCGCCGAGGACGTGTCACTCTTCGATGCCCCATTCTTCTCCATGACTGCCCAGGAGGCGGCTGGTATGGACCCGATGCAGCGGCTCATGCTCGAGGTGGCATACGAAAGTCTCGAGAACGCTGGTATCCCAATGCAAAGTCTCCCAGGAACCATGACCAGTGTTTACTGCGGATGCTTCACGGGGGACTATGGAGACCTGGCCAACAGCGACATCTACGACGCGGCTCCTTACCAGGCCACAGGTAAAGGAAAGGCCATGCTTTCTAACCGAGTTTCATGGTTCTTTGACCTGCGAGGGTCGTCTTTTACCGTGGACACCGCATGCAGTTCCAGTCTGTACGCTCTGCATCTAGCATGCCAGTCCCTGCGACTGAAGGAATCGAAGATGGTAAGTCATTCAATGTTTGAGCATCGTTGTGTTCGGTGGATGAATTTAACCAATACATCCCATTCTTAGGCCATTGTGGGCGGAACTAACTTGATCTTAACACCTGATATGATGCACTCATTAACTGCGCAACGATTCCTTAGCCCAGACGGAGTCAGTCATTCCTTCGATGCTAGAGCCAATGGCTACGGCCGTGGCGAAGGTATTGGTGCCATCATCGTTAAGCCCCTACGCGATGCTCTGGCAGATGGTGATACGATTCGCGCTGTGATTCGTGGCAGCGGGCTCAACCAGGACGGTCGAACGCCCGGTATTACCATGCCAGCGGCCGCGGCACAAGCAGATTTGATTCGCACCGCCTATGCCAATGCTGGTCTTTCCATGGCCGATACTGGCTTCTTCCAGGCCCACGGAACAGGTGAATAAACCCTAACTTACTGACCTTGTAACAATTGACTGACTTATCCAGGAACGGCATTGGGAGATCCAATCGAACTGTCCGCGATTGGTGCAACATTCGGTAAAGCCCGTCATCCTGATCAGCCCCCGCTCTATGTGAGCTCCATTAAAACCAACATTGGGCATACGGAAGGTGCGTCGGGCTTGGCTGGCGTGATCGCCGCCGTTCTGAGCTTGGAGCAAGGATATATCCCTCCGAATGCCGGCTGGGAGACGTTGAATCCCAAACTGCGCCTCGATGACTGGCGAGTGGCCCTGCCACCCAAGTGCATCCCGTGGCCGACAGAAGGCCTGCGAAGAGCCAGTGTCAACTCGTTTGGGTATGTTATTTGAACCTAACCCTCCACAGATCCGTGAGAAAAAGCTAACAATGCTAGATACGGCGGTGCCAATGCGCATATTATTATCGACGATGCATACAATTACCTCACTAGTCGGAACTTGACTGGAAACCATCAAACATCGGTGGTTGTCGGCCGCGTTCAGGATGCAGATTCAGGCTTCAACTCGGGTGAGGCCTCCGACAACGAGGATTATAACGAAGATTCCGAAAGGCAGCATCTTTTTGCGTTTTCAGCATTTGACCAGGCGACCCTGCAACGCATGGCCAATGCCTATGCTGACTCAATTGACCAGCACATGCAGTCATCCAAGCGTCTCACTCCCGCAGAAGAACTCCAGAAAATGCAGAACCGTATGCAGGACATGGCGCACACTCTGGCGACCAGACGGACACTGTTCAGCTATCGCAGCTTCGCCACCGCCAGTTCGCTGGAAGACCTGGTAGAAAGTCTTCGAAACGGACTGCACAAGTTCGGTCGCGTCTCCAAGGCGGACAACATCATCTGGGTCTTCACGGGTCAAGGTGCCCAGTGGCCAACCATGGGACGGGAGCTGGTCTCGCATTTGGCTTTCCGTACCAGTCTGGAGAAGACCCAAGCCGCGTTGGTATCTTGCGGCTGCCCCTGGAATGTATTTGAAGAGCTCAATGTGACGAGCAGCAAGCGGCTGGATAGCCCGGCATTCAGTCAGCCTATGTGTACTGCGGTGCAACTGGGCCTGATTAATTTGATGAATCATTGGGGTGTGCAACCGAGAGCAGTGGTTGGCCATTCCAGTGGTGAAATTGGTGAGTTCGCTCCTGATCAAATCGTTCGTTGTCCGTCAATATCCCAAAACTAATCCACACAGCTGCGGCATATGCCGCCGGTGCTATTTCCCACGAGGATGCCGTTAAAATTGCCTACCACCGTGGAGTTTACTCCGCAGATGTCGGCAACCGACAAGAAGGCCTGCATGGAGGCATGTTGGCCGCTGGGATCAGTCCGGAAGAAGCGCAACCGTATCTCGACCGGATCACGGAGGGGTCTGCAACAATCGCCTGTTACAATTCCCCAAGCAGTGTCACCATATCTGGCGACCAGAACGCCATCGTACAGCTTGAGGCCGAGATTAAGAAAGACCAAAAGTTTGCCAGACAGCTGCGGGTCCAGACTGCTTATCACTCTGTTCACATGAATCTTGTTGCAGATGACTACAAGACCGCAATGGGTGACATCAAGCCTTTACCCAAGTCTACCGAGTCCGTACCGATGTTCTCATCTGTCACCGGCGCATTGATTGACCCATCAGAGCTGGGTACCTCCTACTGGGTACCTCCTACTGGGTTCAGAACATGGTTCAACCGGTCCGTTTCGCTGAAGCCATGAAGTCTCTGCTCTCATATTCCCCTGCCACGCGCAGTCGCCGACGTGCAACCCCCATTGAATACAGTGCCGTCGTTGAGCTTGGGCCGCACGAGGCTCTCAAGGGGCCTGTCAACCAAATTGTCAGTGACTTCAATAGCAAACTGGCTTCCACCCTCACCTACACCTCGGCCCTTAGGCGTGGTCAGGACGCCCAGGCTACCGCTCTTGAGGCTGCAGGAACTCTGTGGAGCTTGGGTCATGCTGTGGATATGACCAAGGCCAATAACATCGACGAAGGGTACACGCCCAAAGCCTTAGTTGATTTGCCCCCATATCCATGGAACCACGACAAGGGCTTCTGGCATGAATCTTACAGCAGCAAATTAAAGCGTTTCCAGAAATATCCCCGTACTGACCTTCTTGGTGCCCCTGTGCACGACCAGAACCCCATGGCCCCTCGGTGGAGGAATATTTTGCGAATTCCAGAGAACCCATGGCTGCAGGATCACAACATCCAAGGTTCTATTCTTTTCCCAGCAGCCGGTATGCTGGCTATGGTCATTGAGGCAGCGAAGCAGATTGCGGAAGACCGAAACTCCCAAGGCTTTGAGCTACGCAATGTTAGATTTGACCGTGGTCTGGTCATTCCCTCAGCCGAGCAGTCCATTGAAACGACACTTCACCTGCATCCATTGGATGCCGAAGAAGCAGTGAATGCATCCTGGTACAACTTCCAGCTTTTCTCTTGCTCACCTGCCGGATCATGGACGGAACATTCCTCAGGCACGGTGAGAATCATGTGGGAGGGTAACGAAGATGCCGAAAACAAGTCAGACTGGACCTTGTGCCAAGCAAAATACTCTGAGATCCAGAAAATTTCCACGCAAACAAGTGTTCGAGCCTTCTACAACGGCCTTGATGCTGTGGGTATGCACTACGGCTCCAGCTTCAAGAACATGACCGAGGCCCATGCTCACGGCCCAACCCGTTCCGCGCATGGAACTATCACAATTCCGGATACCAAGAGCATCATGCCAAACCAGTTTGAGTTCCCTCATATTATTCATCCTGCTACCTTGGATGCAATGTTCCATCTTTTGTTTGTCGGTGACACGGGTGGTAACCCTATGCGGGAAGCCTTCGTCCCTGTTTCGCTGGAGCGCATGTTTGTCTCATCTGCGATCCCGTCTACTGCAGGCGTGGACCTCAAGGGCTACACTCAGTGTCGCTCGAAGACTCAGCGCGAGACAGTTGGTACTGTGGCCATGTCGACTGCTGATTTCGCTCAGCCGGGTCTGATTATTGAAGGGTTTGTCGCCAGAGAAGTGAGCTCATCGACTGGCGCTGTCGAGCCGATGAATTCCATGAGCGAGTCGCAGGCTCCCAAACGAACCGGTCACCTTCACTGGTCCGAAGACATTTCTCATTGGAAGGGTGATGCTGTGGTGAACAGCTTGCAGCAAGCAATTACCGACCAGTCACTCAGTGCTACAGAGCAAGTCACTGCTCAGATTAGCGTCTGGCTTGAGCGGCTGTGCCATAAGGAAGCGGAGCCCAATGTATTGGTGATAGGTTCGGAACTCGCAGATGTAGTTCGCCAGTATGCGCCAATCGCGGGCCGACGATTCTGTTTCCGGAAGTGTACTGTTGCTGCGCCAGCACAGGATGAGCTTGACTCCCTCAAGCAGGCGCTCAGTGACAAGGCTTACGAAGTGGAATATATCAAGCTTGATCTCGGTGAAGAATCAGTGCCTGATATGTCGCCTTTTGACCTTATCTTGTCCAGTACTACGCCCCAGCCTGGATTGGATCTCGGGGCCAGCCTCCAATCCATCCGCTCACTGCTGCATCCTACAGGGCGCATTTTGCTGGGAGGTCCCAACGTTGAGCTTGCAGGTGTTTCAGCATGGAACGACATTCTTGCATCTGCTGGCCTCAATTCATCCCAGGCCTACCACAGGACTGCCAAAGCCACTGTGGTCATCTCGTCCTTAGAGGTAGACGATGAAAAGCCTGAGGAAGTCGTCATTCTCAAAGCACCGCAAATGACGCCCGCCCTGGAAATTCTCAAAACAAACATTGAGAGTGTGGTCCAATCTCAGGGCATTGCTGTTAGCACTGTCAGTTTGGAAGACAGCGACAGCTTCGTTGGCAAATGGATCATCTCTCTGGTCGAAGTCGAAGAACCCTTCATCATGGGATGGAGTGACGAAGACCTCCAGCATTTCCAGACACTGGCTACATCGGCCGAGTATGTTCTATGGCTTACTCGCGGTGGACAGCTTCTTGATTCTTCCAATATCGACTGGAGTTTGACTACTGGCCTGTTGCGAACACTGCGCGTTGAGATGGCTAAGCTGTCAATCCCACACCTGGATCTGTCCCCGGCATTGGACCTGACATCAGCCCGTGCTGTGGAGGTCATCATGTCCTGCTTCAATGCGTCGTCGCCGAACAAGTCCTACGAGCCCGAGATGGAGTATGCGGAGAAAGATGGAACCATCTTTATTCCTCGCTTCAAGACCAACAACAGCTTTGACCATGAGATTGATCGCCACTCAGCTCGTTCCAAGTCATTGATGCAGGTCCTCCATGACCAGGATCGGGCTTTGAAAATCTCAACCAGCAAGACCGGCCAGTTAAACGATCTCCGCTGGATCGACGATGAGCTGGCGACGACTGCATTGAGCGAAAATGACGTCGAGATCAAGACCCAATACGTGGGCCTGGAGCAGGCCGACGTCAACGTTGCTAAGGGCTCAAGTCAGTGCACCACCGTTGGTCGTCAGGTGGGTGGAATCGTCACCCGCGTTGGTGCGAGTGTCACTCGTTTCCAGATCGGACAGAAAGTTGTTGCTGTTAGGCCCGAGGCCTGTCGCATGTATGCTCGCCAGTCCCAGGACTTTGTGCAGCCCGTGCCAGAACACATGAGCTTGGTTGATGCTGTTGCTGCCTTCAGAGCGTATGTCACCGCCTACTACGCCCTCGTTAACCTGGCACACATCCAGTGCTCCGAGTCCATCCTCATCCACGGTGCTGGTGGAGAAGTTGGCCAGGCCGCCATCCAGCTGAGCCGTTATCTTGGGGCCAAGACCTATGTTACGGTTGGATCAGAGGAGGAGAGAGAAACCATCACACAGATGTATTCGATTCCAGAGGAGCGGGTCTTCAGGTCACAGAGTGGTACTCTCAGTCAATCCGTTCTTCGTGCGGTCCATGGTGATGGCGTTGACGTGGTTCTGAGCCTCGTCGACGATGATGTCGCACCGCAGGAACGGCTATGCGTGGGCGAATTCGGACGATTCGTTGGGCTGGGAGGCCGAGGTAAGGTGAAATCCTCATCGAATTTGCGGCATCTAGTTGACCGAATTTCTAGATTACTCTTCGTACAGCAGTCTTTCCACTGCCCGGCAGACAAATGTCGTCTTCGCCAATCTCGACATGGAAGTGGTCGAGGAAAGACGGCCTCGACTGGTGTCGGACATTTTGACCAAGGTTGAAGCATTGCTCAACGCCGACCTCATCAAATGCATCTCTAACGCCCAGATCTATCCTGCGTGCAACGTCGAACAGGCTCTGTACGCAGTTGAGAAACGCACTGCCATGGGCAAAGTCATCTTGGATCTGACAACGGATTCGCCCGTGCCCATCATTCTGCCTCGACCCGTCGCGCTCCGGCTCGACCCCGAGGCCACATACATCCTGAGTGGAGGTCTTGGAGGTCTTGGGCCTAGCGTCGCAGAAATGATGATTAGTCACGGGGCCCGCCATCTGGTGTTCCTTTCTCGCTCGGGACCCAAGTCCGCCGACGCACAGGAGCATCTGCGTCGGTTGAGTGGACTCGGATGCAATGCGGAGGCATTTGCCTGCGACATTGGCACCCTCTCCTCCGTGGAATCCGTCCAGCAGCTCGGTGCCCAGAATGGGTGGAAGATTCGTGGCGTTGTGCAATGCGCCATGGTTCTGCGCGACAGCACTTTCGAGAACATGACGCACCAGAAATGGACTGAGTCGATTCAGCCGAAGATTCATGGTAGTTGGAATTTGCACCGAGTATTCGGTGGCCAGCCGCTGGATTTCTTCATCATGCTTTCGTCCGTCTCCGGCATCATTGGAAACCCGGCGCAGGGAAATTACACGGCCGGAAATACCTACCAGGACGGGTTGGCGCTGTATAGACGACAGCGCGGTCTGCCGGGTACCGCCCTCGCCGTTGGTGCAGTTATGGATGTGGGTGCCTTTGCCGACAATTCGTACTTTGAGAACTTCCTCGAGAAATTCGAGCATCTGGCATCATTGACAGTCAAGATCGAAGAGGTCATGATCATTCTGCAGACATTGATGAAAGGACAGACCGAGGATGGGGTGGCAGTACCCCCGCTGCTGGCCATGGGCTTTACTGAGCAGCTCAAGCGTGACGGAAATATCACCAGTCTCTGGCCCAAGGACCGCAAATTCGACCACCGCATTGAGCTGCCTGAGAATGGTGACGACAACACCGGCGGTGACAAAGTTCGACTTGCTGATTTGCTGGCGCGGGTCACTGATCTCACCGAGGCAGGCGAAGTGGTCGAGCAGGCCTTAAAGGCCAACTTGGCCAATGCGATGACAGCCTCTCCGGAGGATGTGGATGCAGATAAACCACTGCACTCGTATGGTGTGGACAGTTTGAAGGCGGTCGAGGTGCGCAACTGGCTGTTCCGAGAGCTGAAGTGCGACATTTCCGTCTTTGACATTCTAAGCCCGATGTCGTTGGCTAAGCTGAGCGTCAATATCGCCGAAAAGAGCAAGTTTCTACCCGAGAGTGTGAAGCGGACGGATCAACTCGAGTAAATGACTACCACCTCGGCTGTGTGTCAGCAATTCCATAGATAGATAGAGCGTGCAAAGAAGATGTATAGACCGAACGTGACAAATTTAGCCCTAATCTTCCGCAAGATTCTCCGTAGGACTCTGTATAAAGACCAGTCGACCCCCCAATTTTTTCTTCGCAGAATCCATTCTTCTTCCCTCCTCTGGACAACTAAGCATATCCTAAGATGAAAGCCATTAAGATTGTCGGTTCCCGGCGGGCCAAAATTACGACCAAAGCCCCCATGCCCGAGCTGGCGGGGGACTGCGTACTGATCAAGACCATGGCAGTCGCCCTAAATCCCACTGACTGGAAACACATTGATTTCATTTCCATCAAGGGAGCGACTGCAGGATGTGACTACGCAGGCATCATCGAAGAAATAGGATCGGACGTTGACCCTGCCCATGGACTCCAGATTGGTGATCGCGTAGCTGGATTCAATCATGGCTGTACGTATTTTCTCCTATCCTCTCCATTTGGGATCCATCCATCTTCTAATGCCCCTCAGGTAACGGAGAGAATCTCTCGGATGGCTCATTTGCCGAGTTCATTGCGGTCAAGGCACACATCAACATCAAATTGCCCGACTGGATGTCGTTTGAGGACGGGGCTACTCTGGCCGTAGGCATCACCACCGTCGCGCAAGGAATGTACCAGCAGTTGAAACTGCCATTGCCATCGGCGTCAATGACCCCGACAGCTGGGGCTGCTACGGAGCCAATTTTGATTTATGGGGGCAGTACTGCGACAGGAACACTGGCCATCCAATTCGCCAAATTGTATGGAACTCCTTCATCTCGTCGCTCCGGTCTTTGATTTTTCCCCCTTTTTTCTGACAAAGTCTTAGGTCTGGATTCAAAGTAATCACCACCTGCTCGCCCCATAATTTCTCACTGGTCCGAGAACGAGGGGCAGACTATATTCTGGATCACCATTCCCCGACGGTCGCCAAAGACATTCGCGCCTTGACAGACGACAAGCTCTGCATCGTGCTCGACTGCATCACGACCGGTGAATCTATCATCAAATGCTGCGAGGCTTTGGCTCCCTCGTCCCCAGACAGGAAAATTCAATACTGCGGTCTGTTTACCGTCGGGGCTCTTCCCCGGACTGACATCGAGGCTGGGTTCACCATGTCTTATACAGCTCTGGGCGAATCCTTCCAAAAGTGGGACAATTACTACCCCGGGTGCCCCGAGGATGCCCGTTTCGTTGGGGACTTTATGAAGCTGACTTCGAGGCTCCTCGAGGCGAAGAAGATCCAGAATCATCCGGCCGAAGTGGGATCCGGATTAGAGGGTGTTCTGAAGGGACTGGATCGTCTACGAAAGGGAGATGTCAGTGGAGTGAAACTAGTTTATACTTTGTAGTTCGGAATCCAATGTCATTCATCGTTTACTTTTTTTCAGTCCGAGCTAAGCGCTTTGTTCAAAACCGCAAGTCCCACCCGATCTGAGGTCCGAGGTTGGGCAACTCATCGGCTACGCTCTGCACATCTTTATCCCCACGACCACTCAAGCACAAGACGAGATTCTTGTTAGGTCCCAGCTCCTTGGCCGTCTCGATAGCGCCCCACACCGCGTGGGAAGTCTCCAATGCGGGGATAATGCCTTCAAGCTGGCTCAGCAGTCGGAAGCCTTGTAGGGCCTGTGCATCAGTGGCCGAGAGGAATTTCGCCCGGCTAGTCTTCTTCCAATTCGCCAGCTCCGGTCCGACTCCCGGGTAATCGAGTCCCGCAGAGACAGAATGAGTGTTGGAGATCTGGCCATGTTCATCCTGAAGGACATACGTCCGAACACCATGCAGAACTCCCACAGAGCCACCACTTAGCGTGGCTGAATGCCGCGCCGTTTCTAGACCATCTCCACTAGCTTCCACGCCAACCAGCTGGACAGACGGGTCATCAGAGAAAGGATAAAACATTCCCGTTGCGTTCGAGCCACCTCCTACACAAGCGATCACGGCGTCAGGGCTCTTGCCTAGGTCCCGCAGCTGGGCCTTGGTCTCCTCACCGATCACACTCTGGAACGTGCGAACCATGGTCGGGAAGGGGTGGGGTCCAATGGCCGAGCCGATAATGTAATGCGTAGTATCCAGGCGAACAATCCACGCGCGGAAAGCTTCGTTCACCGCATCCCGGAGGGTACGCGATCCCGACTCGACAGGGATAACGGTAGCACCTAACAAGCGAATCCGGAAGACATTCAATGCCTGTCGACGGACATCCTCCGCACCCATGTAAATGGTACATTTCATACCGAATTTGGCGCAGACAGTAGCGGTGGCGACGCCGTGTTGGCCTGCTCCCGTCTCGGCGATGATCTCTGTCTTGCCGAGCCGACGAGCAATGAGAATCTGACCCAAGGCATTATTAATCTTGTGAGATCCTGTGTGGTTCAAATCCTCGCGCTTCAGCCAAATGTTCGCCCCGCCAGCGTGCTCAGTCAGCCGCTTGGCTAGGTGTAGGCTGGATGGACGACCCATGTAGGGATAGTATGATTTCAACTCGGCCCAGAAAGTCGGATCATTCAGTGCAGCTTGGAAGCCGGCATCCAATTCATCCAGACAGGTAATCAAGGCCTCCGGAGCATACTGACCGCCAAAAGTACCAAATCGCCCCAAGCCATCAGTAGTAGCAGCTGCCTCTTCCTCGACAGCCGAGCTGGGCGCACTCGCCTCCGGCGATTGGTGGGCTGCAGCGACCGAGGCATCCCGAGCTACCTTTCGCTGCGTGATCTGCGAGCAATAGTTCTCGATTACTTGCGCGGCATGGCCAGCTGGGGCATCATTTAGGACCGTAATCACTTGACTTCCGATGACGGCGCCGTCGGCAATGGAGGTCACGCTCAGGAAATGCTCGCGTGTGCTGATACCAAAGCCAACCGCCACGGGAACATTGCCCGAGAGGTCCTTAACGCGCTTGATGAGAGTAGGGAGTTCCGAATTGAGAGTTCCAGTGGCGCCGGTTACGCCCATGCGAGAGACAAGGTAGATGAAGGAGTCGGCCATTTTACAGAGGGTCTTCATGCGCTCCTCCGTAGTAGAGGGTGCGATTAATGGGACGTAAGAGAGGCTGTCGGTTTCAAGACGGTCAGCATCGACCATCAGCTCTTGGTGCTTTCAGTTACATACCCGGTCTTCATACAGCCTTCGCGGAATCGAATTGCCTCCTTCAGAGGGAGATCAACGACGATGAAGCCATTGACTCCTACCGCTTTGCAATCTGCGAGGAGTTTGGACTCCCCGTAGCGCAATATCGGGTTGTAATAGCCCATGAAGAGCACGGGCGTCTTGAGCCCATTCCGGCGGGCATCGCGGACCATGTCCAACATCGACGAGATGGTAACACCATTTTCGAGCGCCTTCAAATTGGATTTTTGAATGGTCGGGCCATCTGCAATGGGATCGGTGAAAGGTAGACCGAGTTCAATAATGTCTGTACAAATTTTAGTTTAAATGTTCTCAATTGTTGCGGAAGTGACTCACCAGCCCCTCCGGCCTGCATGCCCAGCAAAATGTCCCTAGTTTCCTCCACACGAGGAAAGCCGGCCGTCACATAGGTTACCAGTGCCGGACGGCCTTCTCTCTGGCATTTGGCAAAGGTTTGTCGAATATGTTCCATGGTGGGGAGATTGAATGAGGGAAGAAGAGGGACAAAGCCATGAAGATAAAAGCGGACCAGATAAAGTCGGAGCCAATGCAAATCGCCCCCAATATTCCCGTGCCTGGGCCCGTATCTGCGGTATCGGCCAACTGTCAAACCCTTTGATTGGTGCGATCAAACGGGCCGCGCCGCCACTTCTGATCATTTTCCAACCTTGGAAGGCCCGGTCAAATGTTGGATTTCTTCTATTCAGTACGGAGTACAGAGTACATAGGTAGATACCTCCATAGGCATACCAAGGTATCTACTTATGTAGGTACAGGGAGTAGCAGATTTCTCTTTATTTCTCTGTAAGAGATTGGCTGAAGTCCAAGATTACATATGTAACCACCTTGTTTTTTTTTTTTACACAGACTTCCTAACGGGGAATTGTAATCGCCTAAATAGTCTTGAAGAAAAGGTTGGGGGCCGTCCCTGCATTACCTCTCCTGTCTCTTCATTTGTCGGTCTGGAACTAGTAGCAGCGCCACTCCGAAAATGCGCGAGATCATAGCATCTAAGCTTCAGGCTATAAGCTGATATAAGAGCAAGGAATGTCAGCATTACATGATAACAAAGTTTTGCAAGATGTTACCCATTGTGCGCAGCGCATGCGAACCATGTCATGAGCGTAAGATTCGCTGCCTGATCCCTCCTCATGGAGGATCTTGTCAGGCCTGTATGACCTCCCGGCGCCAATGTTACTTTCTACCCAGGCACAAGGCTGGTCGTCCCCGGAGGGGCAGTCGAACCTTATCAAGCACCCTCTCGAGTCGACACACCACCCCTCCTCTTCCAGACCCTCCAACAGACAACGAGGTGACTGAGCTATCTCATGACCATGAGTGGCATACGACTTCAACACTGCCATCCTTTATGAACAATGCTTTACCCACCAGCGACGTCTCTTTGCCTGCCGACTTGCAAACTTTTACGAGCGCTCCCTCTTCCCACCCCACTATTATTCCCGATTATTTCTCGACCAATGACAACGTTGGTTTTCAGCCCCAGCCCCAAAGCAATGGCAACAGCGAAAGCGGGCTATCGTGCGGTCCGCTGACGGGATCATTATCCGACTCAAGTGGAGCAAGTCTCTTTCCTAGGATTTACCCCCTTGGCCAGGGTCATTCCCGCGTTATGGGGACACCAGAAGCGTCGACTGGGACCGGTGGGATCAAACCTCGGTCTCGTTTGCAACACTGCTAGAAAAATGCGGTGAGCTCGATCAAGCAGCCGACATGCTGAAAGGGAATTGACCAGCGGTCAGCCCTTACACAACATCTCGTCCTCATTCTCCGCGCAATTGATGTCCTCTGCGACTTGTGCGCAGCCTTCGTCAGTGAGAATCCGCCGCCCTGTCCCAAAAAGTCGCTCGATCCCGCTCTGCTGGCGCTGGTGATCGCGGCCAATTTCAAGGTCCTCGAGGTCTGTGGCCTGCTGGTCTCTATCACCGTCTCCGACATGCAGAGACCCCACGATCAACTACTCCTCAAACGCATCGACTTTAATCTGATGCAGACCAAGATCGCACTGACTTCAATGAAGGAGCGGGAGATGACCTCGCCGTTAGTTTTTCAGACAGCGCTTGATCAGGCGGCGTGCATTCATCGGCAGATCATGGCCATGACGGAGGGATAAATCCAGTCAATATGTGGGCTTACGGTTGAAAGCATTGACATACTGTGCAGGCCATTCGCCAGGCATTCACCAGGTCGTGGTTGTCGAACTGCCTGCTGTAAAAATTATTTAGAGTTTGTGACTACACAGCGCATATTATGAGCAGATATGGAATGGAATTGGAGCACAATATGACCCATTATCCTGGCTGTGCTTTGTCATTTCTAATCACCGGAATTAAACGCCTAACGTCAGTCAAGAAGGATTCGGTCATATTTTGCATTTCAATGTACATTAGCAGGCATGGCGCTCATCTACAAAACAGCCTGTGCGCAAGAGCCACCATAATGTATAGCCCAACAGCAGCAATATGTGGTGAAGCGGATATGACGTTTCCGGATGCAATGTAGAAAATGAATGTAGAGAGCATAAAAAGGAAAGTATTCACGAATTGTAGCAGAAAACGAAGCCACCGGTTACCTTTGAATAAGACGGCTCTAATAAGCAGTGAGAACAAGATAACCCCATAAATTGCAATGAATGCAAGGATAAGTGTAAGGGGAACTCCATAGGCAACCCTAATGAGTCCATATAGTGGGCTTGTGCCTCTGGACATAGAAAGTACAAGGCCGCTCCATATAAGGAATGAACAGACAGCATAACAAACACCTGTTGTTAAGGTATCTGTATATGAGTCCCAGCCACCATCGGGGCTTTCCGGATCAATTGAGCCTTGGTCCATTGACAATGGTGTCAAAGTGCGTGTTGGTTGAGGTTCGTATAAGGCAGGTCGGTTGAAATCATTCTCTAAGCCTCCTGTGGGACTGTATATAGTGTCTGCGGTTCGTTAGACTGGTAGTAGAGGGCGTACCTAAAAGCACATGCTTACCTTTATTGAAGTATTGCATCATTGTAATAAACGGGGCTGCGAGTAACACGACGGCTACAACCTGACCAAATGTCCAATGGCCTACAAGACTTCCTTCCTGACTCAGATCCCATAGTATACGTACCATACCCCAACCGAAAGCGACAAGTAACCAAATCACCTGTCCCAAGTTAGATATGACCTCAGCAGGAGACAGCAACGGTGAAGTAATAGGCAGCTTACCTCGAATAAGATTGAGCTCCATCCGTCGCAGACCAAACGCGCAGTTAAAAAAACAGCCAACAGGGGACGGTAGCAAACGGAGCGTCTGAGGCTGTGAGGATGTCGCTCTTTACAGGCCCAGTTAAAGACAATGCGCAAGACTCGCCGTGCTCGAATGCTGAGCCACATTCTAGCGCGACCAAAGACACCTACGGAGAGAGCTTTGTGTAGTTTGATGACCCGAGAGAAAAACGCAACACCAATCAAAATGACAGAAACCAGCGCCGACCAAAACGTGATATCGCCCCCCGACAGGTCTGGAGAAGGCCATAACTGGCAAATCGCGGGACTGCTCAACCGAAAATAAGCGTATTCCCTCTCACTCTTTCCTGTCGATAAGTATCCAACGATCAATAACGTGGCAAGCCCACCCATAGCAAGTAGCCGCAGTAAACGCTCAGCACCGAATCTATAGAGGTGACTGCGCAATACGGTCAGACATGACAAATGGGTCAGACTTGAGAACCAAGCGAGTTTGATAATGAAAACCCAGTGATAGCCTGAAAGGCCGCAATGAAGTTGTGCGAATCCACTGATCAGGATCGAGAACCCCGTTACGATTTGGAGGTCGCTCATCGCTAGAAGACACTTGCGGCATGTTAATACCAGTGCTGTCTCAATATAACCAAGAGATCCGGGAGAATAGGGGACAAATGAACTTACCTTGATGGAAGTCTGTTGAAGCCGAATACTGGCATAGGGGCTCGATCGGCGGGATTTGAGAGTCTGTCTTAGAATGTGTTTTGGTGCCCACCGTACTGCTCGTAGGAATATCTCGTCCACTGGGTTAGGACGAAATGAATCGCCTTGATCACCCCTGTCGAAAGGGTCATGACTTGGTTGAAATATTCCAAGATAATATATCATAATGATCAAAACCGCAATGCTTGCAGTCGCGATATAGTTGGTCACTATTCCGATGCCAGTAATATCACTGTCGGGGTACAAAGGAAGGGGCTCTGCTGAGCAGTCATAGCCGCAGTGTGACATGATAATTTGCTGCGAAGAGAAAATCAAGACGGACTCTGCTTTGTTATTATGACATAGGTGCTATGTGAGAATGTCGAAAGGAAGCCCCATTTCACCCAAAAAGAACAGCGTGGGGAGAAGAGAGAGGGCGAAAGGAGGCTCGGCCCCCACGCGAAACCCCGGGTATTGACACAGCCTGGATGTAGATCCTGATATGCAGTCGAGTTATTATGAAAGACCAAGACGGTCCGCAGAAAATGATTGGACTTGCGGCTTGGGAATATATTGATATAGTGCGTAGGACGGTGAAGTTCGACTTGGATATTTTAACATTAGTTTCCAAGGTTTATATCAAGGACAATTGCATCTATACCTCTTTCGATGCCTGTGCGAACTTATTCAATAAGGATCACTGCCTCAAGTGTATTTAATGAGCCTTGACACTATATTAGATACAGCATTATACTTTGAGAGCTTCCCAGAGGTGCATATTAGGCATCTTATGAGCGAAAGAAATGACGCCGTTGATTCAGCCAATGATTGTCCCAAGGTCGAGAAAGTTCGTTGCTAGATGCCTCTTTTCGAAAACTCGAGAATAAAAATTTACGGAACGATGGACATCTTTATCAATTGATAAAGGTCCATTTAAAACTCTGGTGCGATGATTTCCGACCAGAATGTCCTTCTCAAAAAGGACTCGAATATTGCCGCAGTCGATGGGAGATGAAGCAGAGTTTATACAGGCCACATAGATCTGATGAAAATGAAACATGTATGGGAGTTAGTAGCTGTTCCATGTCGTACATGCCATATGGCAGAGATGAAAGTGGCAAGATAAGCCGAAACAATGATCATAGCGTCATCGACCAAATGCGGAGAGGATATGGGAGAACATGGGAGGATATGCTCTCGCAGCTCTCAATGACTACCTAAGTACCTAGATAGAATTGTATTCATCCCATACAATCTATGAAACGAAATATATGAAGCCCATGCCATACCCCATATATCAGATCTAAGATTTCCCCGATAGTCTTGGCTCTCTCCGCCCAGTGCCGCGTGAGCCGTCAGAGGTGATTTGGTGATTTGGTGATTTTCCTCTTTCACCTTCCACCTTTCGCCTTTCAATCTTTACTCACAATCCCATTCTATCTTCACTAGTAAGTCTAGTCTTCTTCTCTATTTCATTTGATACCGATTTCCCTGTCTGGCGGGAAGCGTTGAAACCATCGGACGCGCTATACATGGGCAATGGTGCAAATGTGCATTGAACCTGTTCGGAGGATCGATGAGTTTCATATATTTGAATTGTTCTGATTGGTCTTTTTTTCCTCATTTGTGTTTCATGTCTCATGTTTTGGAAGAGAGAACCGCCTTCCCCTCGTGATCCTACTATGAACCCCCCAATTACACGTTTGTGCCGCTCACTGCCTAAACCATCTTCCTCCTATACTTTGTCTTATCTCTCATTTCGGGCACCTTTTCGCTCCCAAGGAAATACTCATCGCTGATTTATTCAGCACTTACAGCCCAATTCCTCCCACCTTCACCTCCACCTCGACCTACCGACTCCTACGTCAGCCTCGCGCCCCCTCCGTGTTCGCCCCGCCCACCACTAAACCATCCACCCCCGGTCCACCAATTCCTCTTGAAGGGATACAATCAAGCTGGCAGGAAATAAGCGCCGCAGTTTTTCTTCGCAGGGTGGGTTACTGGGCAGAATGTTCAGTGGCTCCTCGAGCCCACCCAAAGACAGAGTAGACACACTCCCAGAGGTTGGCCTCGACACCAACCCCTTGACCCTCCAAACGGATACAATCGGTACCAGTCCACGTGAGAAGAGGTTCTCCCCGCCTAGCGCTGGATTTTTCAACCGTCGACAAAGTGAAGAACAGGGTACCGCTGGCGAGAAGAAGCGCAGGAGTAGTACCGTCGTCAAAGCGGCCAACTTCTTCAGTAACGCAAAAAGCTCCTTGAGCTTGAACGGCCGGGATAGTTCTGCGATCAGTACCAGCCCCTCGATCGCGGAAAGCCCGCTACAGAAGCTTGGAAAGATGGACCCAGCTCTCAGCGTCCCTCAAGGGTCGTTCAACAACTCCGCCGGTGAATCCGCACCGACTGCTCGGTCATCCTTCCGCGTTGGTGTTACCGAAGATCGGAATCGCAAATGTCGCCGGACAATGGAGGATACACATGCCTATCTCTACAATTTCCTGGGCACCCCTGCCCCGACTGCAACAGAGGTAAATGGTGCTACTTCCCCTAAAGCCAGCCCGTCGCAGTCATCAGAGGATTCATCTTCCGTTGTAGAAACAGACAATGGCTATTTCGCAATTTTCGATGGGCATGCTGGCACCTTTGCCGCAGAGTGGTGTGGAAAGAAGTTGCATTTGATTCTCGAGGAAATCATGCGCAGAAGTCCTAGCACTCCCGTCCCAGAACTGCTCGATCAGACTTTTACCAGTGTGGACCAGCAATTGGAGAAATTGCCCGTCAAGAACTCCGGGTGTACGGCTGTCACTGCCGTGCTTCGGTGGGAAGATCGTGTACCCAACTCACAGTCGGCCACCGGTTCTTCTGCCCTTGGCCCGGCCTCTGCCGCGGCGACGAAAGCGGACACGAATTCAGAGAATATCGAAACCCCGACTCAAGCTACCCCGGGCGCCTCCAGTGCCTTGCCGAAATTGCAGGACAAGGCTATTCGGCAACGGGTTTTGTACACAGCCAACGTTGGTGATGCACGCATTGTATTATGTCGTAATGGGAAAGCACTTCGTTTGTCTTATGACCATAAAGGTAGCGATGAGAATGAAGGGAGGAGAGTTGCCAACGCTGGTGGGCTAATTCTGAACAACCGCGTGAATGGGGTTCTGGCCGTCACCCGTGCCTTGGGCGATGCATACTTGAAAGACCTTGTGACCGGGCATCCCTACACAACAGAGACAGTGATCCAGCCAGATGCTGATGAGTTTATCATCTTGGCCTGCGATGGTGTAAGTTGAGGTTAACTCGATGTTGATGATACAGGAAAGCTAATTATACTCTAATAGCTCTGGGACGTCTGCAGTGACCAGGAATCTGTCGATCTAATTCGGAATGTCCAAGATGCTCAACAGGCCTCAAAGATTCTTGTTGACCATGCACTTGCACGGTTCAGCACCGACAACCTGTCTTGCATGGTGATCCGCCTTGACTCCAACCGTGTCAAGGACCTTGTGAACAACAATACGGAACTGATAGGAGTGGATGGGGATCCGCACACCAAGGTGGCCGGGGGTGTGAGTGAGGCCGATAAGATTGTCGAGCAAGCACAACAGAGCATCGTCTCTTCCGGTCTTGCAGATGATCCGGCAGCGGCAGAGAAGGCCAATGAAGAGACTCTTCAGAGAATGGCCAGTAATAATCACAAGCAAGAACCCGGGCCTGAGATGTCAATCAAAGAGAGTGACGATCTTCCCTCTGTGGACATTCTGAGTCCGAATAGGAGCCCGGATAACCCGTCGAGCTTGACTCAGTGATTTTACGACATCTTATGAAGCCGAATCACCACATTCTGAAGTTGTGAAAACGAATTGATAGAACGTGTGCATTTCTTTCTTTTCGTCTACTATCTACCTCTGGTGCTTCTGGGAGCAGTGTACCCGACCCGGAATATCTTCGGGAGTTTTCCATCCTGTCGCTTACTTATTTCATTGCACATTGGCGTCAATGGTGCACACTGGTTGCCCGTTGGCCTCATTTTTCAACCTTTTGTTTATTACGGGATCAGACTTGGTGGTCTTGATGTCCTTTGTTAGCATAAGTCTTTCTATTATTAGGATATTTGTCCTGAATTTGGCCTCGATGAAATTAGGCTCTGTTGTTTTCCATCCAATGCTTATTTAAACCGAAGACATGGCACTGTGTGTATCTACCTGATGTATCCGCTTCATTCTGCTGTAGGGTGATGATGGTGACGGTGCAATAGATATGGTTTAGTCTTAGAATTAACAGTCGCTTTTTGTCCGTTATGAAGTAAATACTTGGTTGGATGCCGTATTTAGGGAGTGTATTTTTGCTATATATCCTCTGTGCATCTAACAGACGATGATACCAAGAAAGAGACATAGGACCCTAGAAAAGATGTCAAAAGAAGAGACCACTCAAGAGGTGGCCGTACCTTCTTGTGATTTGATATATCTAAAAGTACAATTTATGAATGCTAGGATAAGCTAGACAGAAAGACAAGAGAGAAAATACAAAAAGCACCAACCATCAGACCCAAACCAGAGGGAAATGGATATCAACATACACAAAACGTCCCGTCTTGCCCTGGAATGAGCGACGGACAGGAGAGAAGAACCTCAATGACGCCAAATGTCTACGCCTGCTCAAACGAACCATCGGCAATGATGTCCTCGCTAGGGACCGGGAAGTCCTCCTGGCCAATCAAGTGGTTCCGAGTCCAGCGCAGCTGACCGTGCTCAATGTAACCCGGCCAGTTCTTCGCGCACTGCGCATCGTACGGATCCTGCCACAAGATCTTGACAGACTGCTCCTGTGGTGCGCTGTGATCCGCAGTGATCTCAACCTGCAGCTGCTCCTCGAGCGACGCAACCTGGCCCGCACGCTCTTTAGCCTGCTCAGCCTCCTTCAGGAGAGCCGCACGTCTGCGCCTACGGGCCTTGACGGTCTTGTATCCAGACTTAGAGCTCTCTGGTACACCCTCCAAGATATGGTCCCTGTGTTT